AGTCCCTCTCTGTCTTATTTGGCCTTTAAGGCTCAACTTGTCCGATTATTATATATAATTAAACCCCTTAAGACCAAACCTATGGGACGACTATGGCGGAGGTGATTTCGATGATGTTCGAGAAAGGACGAGATAATATTTCTGGACTGTTCGAAATATTTCTGGTTTGGTGCAGAAGCTTCTCGACTCCACCAAATTTTAGAAATTTGTATATAAATATTTATTGGTGGATGAGCCATCAGAGTAGTAGTTATATATGGACAGTGAAGATAAATAGTAATTAGTAGATAGACAGTGGTGAATATAAATAGTAATCAGTTTAAAGACATTCGAAGTATATATAAATTAGAATAATTGTGTTATAAAATAAATAAGTGTTTAAATAAATTATTAATAAATAAACTGTTGTTTTAAAGTAAACAAACATCACAGTATTACCAAAGCATTCTAAAACTGAAGTAAAATACAGGGTTTTCTGTTTAAAAACTATACCTTTTTATTTATCAGACAAAAATGCAAAACCCTGTATGTCTAAAAATATCTTTAAAATACCTATTTTTGAAATTCATATAACTTTTATTTAGAAATTGTTTACGTGTCTATAACACAAATTGAAATTTTGAACAATTACGCACTAATGGGACAACCTGAATATATTATTCGCAATATATGCACGCGGAATATTTATGTAATAATTTAATCCCGCGCCGCGTTCATATATTTTATTCACGCTTCTATTAGATATTGTAGTTTACTTAAGTATTTACTTAAACTACTTTAGTAGTATAGCAACTAATTTTGATAGATGTCCTTTATGTGTCATAAATTAAGAATCCTTTTGTTCAACAGATGGAGCAATATTATATATTTAATAGTTCTTTTGTTCTACAGATGGCGTAATAATTTTATTAATTCTAAACGGTAACCGGTGTAACTGTTATAAAATAACAAATTCATCACCCCTAGCCACTACGCGATGATTAGTAAACGAGTTCTTGACCTTGTAAATATTTTCGATGTAACAGGTACCTAAATAAATTTGATATCCGGTGGTTGCATTTTCTGTTCGACTATGCATAAATTTTTATAAAGGATAACTTTTTTTCGTAAAATGAATATTAAAAAAGTTCTCTATATGCTGTCAACTTACATAGACATACTGTGTGTATGCAACTTATGACATATTGCTGAGATATTGTTTTTGTAAGAAAAAAGAAATTATAACATTTTACTTCATTTGTAGAGTCGTAATTTATGTTTTCATATTTTCACTTTTTTATCAATTCAGAATTACAGTACTATTTTCAATTATTAATAAAAATTACGTGTATATTTTAGATTAATCAATAAGAAAAATAAGCATTTTTGAAATATTAATAACTAAATACAAATTAAACAACAAATGAATAAAAAAGCATTTAAAACACGTTGACTGCCGAAGCAAATGTTGTGGTAAGGTCTGTTGAGGCGAAGTAGTTTTTTAAAAATTTAAGTCTATTTTTACGTTTTAAGAGTAAAGTAAGTAGTATAGCAACACCGATTATAGCGCAAAATTGACCATTTTTACATGTAAATCTCCATAAGCAAATCTAAGGTCCAACGTGGTAATTTTTGATACCAAAATTCCAGTGGCATACTAGAACAATTTACCCCTTATTAAAATTTTATTTATATTTAAAATATCAGGAGAGCACTAGAAAAATATCCCTTTCTTTCTACTTTATTTTTATAATGTTAGAATATAAAAACTACATATTTGTTTTAAATCATTTATTTTTCTCATACATATTTAAGCAGTTTAATTTTTCGTAATAACATGTTATTACAATTAATTAAATCCAGTTGGAACGTCTGCTAAGCTGTAGTGGCCCCATGGTAAGGTATTGTAAGATTCAGGTACCAAGTAGCGTTTATCATCGTAGGGGCTAAGGGCGATTTTCTGCTGAGTCATTGAATAAACTTGATGTTTATCTGAACGAATTAAATTCTGCGAAACAATCTTATTTGTAAATGTCTCCAAACAGTTTACATAATCTTCAAAAGTTATTACGGTATTAACTATAGATTTTTTAACGCCCTTTGCTTTCTTAATTAATTCAACATTTAACAAAATATCTCCAATTTCATCAGAGTCATATTCTTCTTCTGTTTTAAGACGAACTGTCTCCCTTACAATAGCATCTTCAGTTTTAACAATTTTTACAGTATATAATTTTGAACGAAGACCAATAAAATCAGTCATTGGTATACCATTGTTCTCATCTTTCATCATACCTAATACTTTTTTATTAACTTGAGGAATTCCGTAAACGTTGTTTAGTGAATAGTCTGGGGTATCAAAATATTGCATGCAATCACGTTTTATAATTTCATATGGATCATGATCTCGAATTTCGTAGATTAGACTGTCCGTATCCGTGTATAAAATGGAACAATTATTTCCAAATTCACTTTTCATATAGCCATAATGGAAGTCATAAAGAGTTGTCTTAGCCAAATCCAAAATGCTCATTCCAATATAAATAGGTTTGTTTAAAAATATCTCTAGTTTGTGCAATTCTATGGCTACTAAATTTTCATTGAATATTGTACATGATTTAAATTCAGGTTTTGATAGCATTGCTTCAGCACCATAACGCCCTTGCCATTGCTGAATTAACTTCACATTAAGATACTTCCTCACACTTTCAATACTTTTTCCAAAGATGGCGTTGTTCATAAGTTTATATAAGTTCTTCTCAAATTCATTTTTCGAATTTTTTCTAAGTAGTATTAAAATCTATATAAGTCTTTAACCAAGGGGACTGGTTAAATTTTAAAACTCTATGAATTTTTGTTACCTTTAATCCATATTTTATCGCCTGTTTTAAATTTCTATAGTGGATCACATATTTTTCTTTGTTTTGTAATGTTGCCATTAATTTAGATTTATTTGTACAAGGTCTCAAAGTTGCAGGATTAAGGTGTTCGGGTAAAAAGGGTAAATCTTGATGAACGTTGTGAAGTTTTTTCGGATATTCTAAGTCAACTTCTAAAATATATCCTTCAGGGGAATGGTCATGTATAGACATAATATCAATATATTAGTATCCACCCATTTGAACCCTCCATAAGGTAGATATTGCGACATCGCCCATCCATACTGATTATTAACATCATAGTACATCAAATATTTGGCCATCTTTGACACATCATAGTGGGGTAAGTACTTGTTGTTTGCTTGGGCTCTTCTTTTTGAGCAGACCTGACTTAAACCGCCTCGTATTCCCTTTTCAATAAAGAGAAACATATCTTGATCAGTTAGCAGTTCCAATTTTTGACCAGTTTGTCTTAACATAGCATCCCAAGTGTATCCAGGTAGGGAATAATAATGTGCTGGATCTAAACCATAACTTTTATGAGAACTTGATCTTAATTGCTCAAAAACGTCAGCTGAAAGCAAAATATCCGTTTTCATGTATAAGTCTACGTAATCACCAAGGTTACGACATAAAAACTTGCTCCAAATATCCTGGGCACGAAGGTACATTCTACGGGAACATGGCTTGTTTTCTAATGTATTATAAAATGCATCAATTGGAGGTAAACATGCTTCATTAAATCGTTCAAATGAATCAAAGTAGTCATATGGCATAATTCCTTTCTTTGTTAATAATTTGTAATGATCTTCAGTTAATTTATCAAACTGAGATCTTAAATTGGGAAAATTTTCTAGATATGATGCTAATGTACTCAAACGAGAATTCATGAAACGAAAACTATCAATAAATCGAAACTGAATGGGAGAATCATCGATATGTTTGGTAAACGAAATATACTTATCTTTGGTGATAGGAAGTAAATCAACTCGATCTGGCAGTCTAGTAGCTATGTCAATTATTACAAAGTGGGCATCATATTCGGACAAATTGTGAAAAACTACAGGAACTACATGACTATCCTGATAATTTATGTTACATCCCTCATGGGACGGACCTCTATAGTTGTTGTAAGGGAGGAGATGAAAATGATCTCTAACTTTTTTATCGTCAGGCTCAAACGGTTGGTCACATATATGACAATGTGTAGATTTTTGAAAATTATATTCCTGCTCTGCCGAGATATCTATGTCGAAAGGGCACCAAAAGAGAGTTTCCAAATCTTCGGCCAGTTTTTTCATTTCATTAGTGAACCACTGCATACAATCGTAACCTCTGTATGATCGATAAAAAGAAATAGTGTCATTATAGGAACATTTGAGGTAGTAGCCCACAGCAGCTGGAACATATTGCTGATAAATATTTTTATTTTCCATAGGATTCAATACACTTTCTAAATCAGCGTATACGATGCAAGGGACTTTTTCTTTATTTTTAAAATTTTTAAACTCTACTATAGATTTATCACCTTCGGGCATTTTAATAGCACCATGATTTAATTTTTTACAATCTTCTATATGCATGTTTAATTTTGCCTCAGAACGGAAATAATGAAGACAGCGATCGCAAAAGTATTTAGCATGCCCTTCATTACTCAATTGCTTGGAAAGTAGTCTCGAAAGGCTTTTAATCCATACAAAGTGACATTTAACATCACCTTCCTCACCCTCTTTATAATACTTGAATAAGCAAAAGGTTTACATGCCGATCTTCTTTATTTTTAGTAAGGTATGTAGGAAGAGTAATAAATGATTTTTTCTGTTTTTGTAAGATGTACACATTTATGGAAATATTGTTTTGTTTCTCGAAATTTGGAATTTGTTTCATACTCATTGGAAATTGAATACCTTTTAATTTAAGAACAGTTGAATAGTGCGGATACATAGACATACGCTGTGAGTCTTTGATTACTGGATATAAAGCAGCCATAACAGACCAAGCGAAGCAAGCTTGATCATCATTTCTGATATTAATACATGCTTTTTTTCATTTAATTTGTGTAGGTAAATCAATATATGATGATCCCAGTTGAGGGGTAAACTTGTTTATATTTACACCCAAGTTCACAACTTGTTTTAAAGCCTATCCACTATCACGTTCTTGAAATTCCTCAAGTTCAGTTAAAATGGGATGAACAACATTTTTATCAAACCATTGACCGATGTTACTGTCTTTATATATCGGTGAATTAGAAGTTGTGAAGTACTTAAATTCAGTTTGAACTCTATCAGCCTTCGATAAAACAAATTCACCACAAAAAACAACATTGACTTTAATGGCATCTTTTGTTTGTAACGTATTATGGATTTTTCGTTCAAAAATAGATTTGCAATCTTGTAAAAAAGTCTTCGGATCTTTGTGTTGCAGATTTGTAATTACTCCAGTATGAATGCGACTATTGAAAGTCGATAAAGAATCTTGCCAGAGTACATGGTTTTTTGCAGTTTCCTTTAGACCTTTTCCTTTTTTTCGCAAATTCTTTATTTGCGATCGATAGCTCTTAATATTAGCTAAAGCAGCACATAATCGTTGTTTTTCCCCCACGGTCGCAGCAATTTTTAAATTATGGTTGATTCGGCGAATAGCTTTATTACATTCACGAAGACCAGTTTCTGCCTCATTTTTATCCATTGTTATTGATAGAATACTTAATATAGCACGGATTTTTTCACATAAAACTTTCAACCAATACATCTTAAGCCTTTGGAGAGCGTACAGTATGACTTATGTAGTAGACCTCCAATATAGTACTGAATTATAAGCTTGGTGTGTTCTAAATATATGTAGATTTTCCCGGATTGGTTCGGAAATATTCGAAATTGTTCGGATTTGTTTCGGGCAGGAAACGGTTGATCTAAAAAGAAAATAAAATTATATAACTACACAGAAGCCTCGCCCCTTCCCTACATAACTTCAACTAAGACGAGTCCTGTTACCGAATTATTTATAGCTTACCAGCCCCTCGAAATTCAAAGCCCGAGGTAAATAACAGGGTGATCAATGACCACAGTAGGTGTACCATCAAGCTATTAATAGCCTTTAAGACCCATCAAAATTTAAAGGCACTAGACAAAGGCACGAGGTAGATGGTTTTCATAATTTGAAAATCTTAGTGATTAGTATTAGCTACAAGCCCCCCCCAGTGTCGATGGGTTTCTGCCGAAACATTTTGGCGTCGAATGTCTCTATGGACCAAGCGCCCCAAACCTAACTGTCACACGAAAACATTAGTTTATAGTCTGCTCAACACATTTGGGGTAATCACTGAAAGAAACTTACCACTCTTCAGAATGTAAAGTGTTATCAGTCTATAATTCAATTTTACTATTTTAAGTGGCTTCATTTTCATTTTATCATTAGATACGTAAGATAAATTCAATGTAACATGATTTATAAACTTCAACTAAAATGAGTCCTGCTACCAAATGATTTATAGCTTTTCAGCCCCTTGGAATTCAAAGGCACTACTCAGGAGGCCCTAGGTAAATAGCAGGGTGATCATTGATCACAACAGGTCTACCATCAAGTAATTAATAGCCTTTAGGCCCCCCCGGAATTCAATGGCACTACACAGAGGCCCGAGGTGGATGGCTTTCATAATGTGATAATATCGCATATTAGCTAAGCCTCCAGTGTCGATGGGTTTCTGCCGAAACATATGGGCGTCGAATGTCTCTATGGACCGAGCGCCACAAACTTAACTGTCACACGAAAGCATCAGTTTATAGTCTGCTCAACACATTTGGGTAATCACTGAAAGAAACCTACTAATCTTCAGAATGTAAAGTGTTATCAGTTTATTAATATCCGAAAAAACTTCACTACGTTCATCAAGATTTACCCTTTTTATCCGAACACCTTAATTCTGCAACTTTGAGACCTTGTACAAATAAATCTAAATTAATGGCAACATTACAAAACAAAGAAAAATATGTGATCCACTATAGAAATTTAAAACAGGCGATAAAATATGGATTAAAGGTAACAAAAATTAATAGAGTTTTAAAATTTAACCAGTCCCCTTGGTTAAAGACATATAGATTTTAATACTAAACTTAGAAAAAATTCGAAAAATGAATTTGAGAAGAACTTATATAAACTTATGAACAACGCCATCTTTGGAAAAAGTATTGAAAGTGTGAGGAAGTATCTTAATGTGAAGTTAATTCAGCAATGGCAAGGGCGTTATGGTGCTGAAGCAATGATATCAAAACCTGAATTTAAATCATGTACAATATTCAATGAAAATTTAGTAGCCATAGAATTGCACAAACTAGAGATATTTTTAAACAAACCTATTTATATTGGAATGAGCATTTTGGATTTGGCTAAGACAACTCTTTATGACTTCCATTATGGCTATATGAAAAGTGAATTTGGAAATAATTGTTCCATTTTATACACGGATACGGACAGTTTAATCTACGAAATTCGCGATCATGATCCATATGAAATTATAAAACGTGATTGCATGCAATATTTTGATACCTCAGACTATTCACTAAACAACGTTTACCGAATTCCTCAAGTTAATAAAAAAGTACTAGGTATGATGAAAGATGAGAACAATGGTATACCAATGACTGATTTTATTGGTCTTCGTTCAAAATTATATACTGTAAAATTTGTTAAAACTGAAGATGCTATTGTAAGGGAGACAGTTCGTCTTAAAACAGAAGAAGAATATGACTCTGATGAAATTGGAGATATGTTGTTAAATGTTGAATTAATTAAGAAAGCAAAGGGCGTTAAAAAATCTATAGTTAATACCGTAATAACTTTTGAAGATTATGTAAACTGTTTACAAATTTACATTTACAAATAAGATTGTTTCGCAGAATTTAATTCGTTCAGATAAACATCAAGTTTATTCAATGACTCAGCAGAAAATCGCCCTTAGCCCCTACGATGATAAACGCTACTTGGTACCTGAATCTTACAATACCTTACCATGGGGCCACTACAGCTTAGCAGACGTTCCAACTGGATTTAATTAAATACTTTGTAATAACATGTTATTATGAAAAATTAAACTGCTTAATTATGTATGAGAAAAATAAATGATTTAAGTAGTTTTTATATTCTAACATTATAAAAATAAAGTAGAAAGAAAGGGATATTTTTCTAGTGCTCTCCTGATATTTTAAATATAAATAAAATTTTAATAAGGGGTAAATTGTTCTAGTACGCCACTGGAATTTTGGTATCAAAAACTACCACGTTGGACCTTAGATTTGCTTATGGAGATTTACATGTAAAAATGGTCAATTTTGCGCTAGAATCGGTGTTGCTATACTACTTACTTTACTCTTAAAACGTAAAAATAGACTTAAATTTTTAAAAAACTACTTCGCCTCAACAGACCCGACCACAACATTTGCTTCGGCAGTCAACGTGTTTTAAATGCTTTTTTATGCATTTGTTGTTTAATTTGTATTTAGTTATTAATATTTCAAAAATGCTTATTTTTCTTATTGATTAATCTAAAATATACACGTAATTTTTATTAATAATTGAAAATAGTACTGTAATTCTGAATTGATAAAAAAGTAAAAATATGAAAACATAAATTACGACTCTACAAATGAAGTAAAATTTTATAATTTCTTTTTTCTTACAAAAACAATATCTCAGCAATATGTCATAAGTTGCATACACACACAGTATGTCTATGTAAGTTGACAGCATATAGAGAACTTTTTTAATATTCATTTTACGAAAAAAAGTTATTCTTTATAAAAATGTATGCATGGTCGAACAGAAAATGCAACCACCGGATATCAAATTTATTTAGGTACCTGCTACATCGAAAATATTTACAAGGTCAAGAACTCGTTTACTTATCATCGCGTAGTGGCTAGGGGTGATGAATTTGTTATTTTATAACAGTTACCGGTTACCGTTTAGAATTAATAAAATTATTACGCCATCTGTTGAACAAAAGAACTATTAAATATGGAATATTGCTCCATCTGTTGAACAAAAGGATTCTTAATTTATGACACATAAATGACATCTATCAAAATTAGTTCATGTTACGAATATTGGGGGTGGTATTGTGGCCTTAACGTTTAGGTAGGTCAATGTCAAAGACCGGTTTATTAATAATCTTATGACAAATCGTATCCCTTTGCTGGAAATAGAGCGTATGCTTATGGGTAATTTTGTTTATTTATTGTTTTTAATAGGCACACTTTTAATTCGCTTACATCATCCACTTGATTTCAGCTTTAATAGTCTATATTACATTTTATGTCCAAGGTGGTACTCAATAAAAGTTTTAATTCTATAACTTAATATACCAACGTGCAACGCGCGGAAGGTGCGAACAAGATGATACCATCGAGCATAGCCTATACGATTGCCCGACGCTCTCATTTATTAGAATATTTGTGTTCGTCGAGAATTGGTTAACACCGGCCGATATAAGAGAAGCACCTCTTGGCGACGTTGTCAACTACATTAAATCTGTAGGCTGGCTCACGAGTTAAGAGGTGCCTATTTGGGATGATGCACAATGGGCATAGTGAGGCCTAAGTGCCGTGGGTTAACCCACCCTCCATACGTTACAGATACAGACAGATATTAATTTAGGTACAATGGCAAGTAGTGATGAATATGAAATCAAAGTCCAGTTGTGAAGAAAATGATGTTGATTAAAAAAAAATTATATGAGTTATCCAATAAATATTTTATGTGTCTCTTGTTATAATATATTTTTTAACAATAGGTTCTTTCGTTCGCTGTTGGTGTAGTGTCCGACAGTGTAAATTATATCAGTTACACCACCTTATTTACCCTAGTTTACTTCGTCCTTATTCCTTATACACATGTTGAGTGTAATTCACTGCTGCTAAATAGCTGGTGGAGAAAATATCCACCAATGGACACCACATCGCCGACAGGAAGGTATAGTGGGTTTTACACCGGGCCAAACGAAAGATTTAGTGTCCGTTGGTGTAGTTCATTCCTACACCAGTGGGACGAACGAAAGAACCTAATGAATTTCTACCTGTTTTGGATTATCTTTAAAAACTCTAAAAACCAATGATCAGCTGGGAAATTTATTAATAATGTACGAAAGTAAATGGGTAACAAAATTTAAAACGTAAGTAATCTTAATTTTTTCAAAGCGACTTCTTGTATTCGTGTTAACGCACCTTAATAAAATTTACGCTGAAAAGTAACAAGAAAGCGCAACTGAAATAAGAAGACACGTGCAAACTAACTAAAAATGCGATACTCTTTTGTCAGAGAACATGGGGTATTTCTATCACTTTACCCCCATTTGCCTTGCATCGCCTTAGTTTTTGTGGCAGTCTTAGTGGGAGGCAGGAGTTGAGCTCACCCTGTGAACTTCCTAACAACATCAGTTACCAGGGTTGGTTATTTGTACATATTGTCATTATTATTACAATTTTTTGTCAAGATGGAATTAAATTATTTATACATCTACAATTTGGTTTTTTAATATGAAAGTTGGGATCCTAAAATAAAAGATCCCACACCTTTCACAATGAAACATCCTGTATAAAAAATTACATTTTTTGTAACTATACAAAAAAATTAATATTATAATGAATCCTCCGGCACAAGCGATTATAGAAATTTCAAGTTATTTTTCTAACGCATCTGATAGTTCTTAAGGATTTATGTCTAGGAAATGGCTGGGATAAGCCACTTCGTTCAATAAGTTGGGAATGAGAAAAATACAAAATTATCTTTCTTTTTATTTTATTTTTAACAATATAAATTAAAAAACAAAATCAAATATCACCTCAGAAGTACTTCCAGGAACATATCGTGTCTTAGCGTTGTGGAATTTCTTTCCTTAGAATTTTGAAAGACCTGTACATGTTTTTTCTACATTTTTGATCGTCCTGGCCACTAATTTTATTTTCAATAAAAAAATCAAAGGATGAGCTTTTCCGTGCACCAGCGTTTTAATGTATGGTTTAGCCATAAAAGAAACGGAAATAACATGGAAACAATACAAAGTACTTTTGAGAGTTAATTTTAAATTTTCAGCGATTTTTTTTCCACCTTTGGTGTGAATGCAAACTCTATGAAATGCATTTCAAATTTAAATTAAACTTAATAAACATGATTAGTTGTTTTTTATTATTTACAGCCAAATGTTTTTCTTGATACATACTTGAGCTAAAAACTAACTAAAAAAATGTATATATATAGTTTTATAGTAAATTGTTTAAGATGTGTATACTCATTTTTAAGTAATAAAAAACTATATCCCCACCATATAAATTATTTCACACAAAATTGTCAAGTACAGGGTTTGTTTGTCTGACAGAGCTCAATACCTACTCTTTCGTTAGATGCAGAAAAAAATATCCCATACAATTTTTCTATTAAACTTTCCTTTGTGTCTCTAACAAAAGAAGCAATACTTATCTTGCTGGAATTAATATGCCACCCTGTATTTATATTAAATTTTCTAATGAGAGCTAGTGGCAGTAATTTTCATACATCATCATCTTCATCTCCATCAACAGGAGTAGTTGAGTTATAATGTTCTCCTAATCGGTACAGATGTCTATGATAGGTTAATATTAATTCTGGTCCCGTAAACTGCTCCCCTTGTAATGTAGGAACACCAACAGCTTGAATCACCTTAATGGGACAAGTTAAAATGTTGGATAAAGCTCTTAATTCCAACTGTCCTCCCCAAAGTTTTGTCGTAGCCACGTCTTTACAGTAGTTTTCAAATTGTTCTTCACTAACTATTTCAGACTCGTCAAGTTCATTGCACATAAAAGGAAGGAAATCATCTTTATTTTGTCGCATAAAATCTGATGTTGTTTTTCTTAAGTCACTGACAGATCTCATTGATCTACCTGAAATAAGACGATTAATATGAGTAAGAAATATTTGGATGATTCATCTTTAAGGGTCCACTTCGTGGTTGGCATAACATTCATTTTAAATGAAAATAAAAACTTTCATAGTAATAGGAAGATTTGATATTATTTCATGTTCTTTTTTTTTTATTTTTTAAAAGTTTTGGATAAGTAACTAACAAGAAGGTAAGTGGTCATTAAAAGATGATTTTTTTCTCCATTGGTGTCTTTGGCTTCGACAACTTGGGCCAATGGCCTCGTGTTCTGGTTATGGAATGCTACAGGATGTGTCACCGTTTCTCAGCGCCACTTTAGAGGCAGCTCTGATAATTATCAACAAACAGTAAATGGTCAGAGTGGGGAATCTTACCTATGCATTAGTTTTATTTAAATTAATTAATTAATTAAAAAAAATTCTGGCCAACGGTGGGATTCGAACCTCAGACTCTTATATTTGCAAATCCAGACTATCCACTGATGTTTCCATGGTTGCAAAATTCAAAGTATGTTGATCCGAATTTTTTCATGAAATTACTGCAATAAATCGAAATGCAACAAATTTTTACTTGTCGACATTATTGTTTGTACAGTTAGACAAAAAATATTGTTTGCATTTCGTGGCAAAATAAGTGTTTTTTACGACGCATTCAATTGCATTTTTGTTTCGATTTGGATTCGCAGTCAAAAATTGAGAATCTCAAGCACACAGTTCCCCTTAAGCTGAGCGCCAAAATATTGAAAATTTCATTTAACTTTAATTTAGCTAAAATTAGTTATAGGAAAACTGTTACCATAAGGACGCTTGGCATTGTAAAGGCTAAACAAAAACCCAAATCCCGTGGTAAGGAAAATACGTAGTTGCCAAGTTATAGATAATTTAATTTTCACTTTAGTTCAGCTGAAATCAATTATGGCGAAACTGTTGCCATGGAAACGTTTGTAATGGTAACAACTAAACAAAAACTCAAATTCTGTAGTGAGGAAATGCGTAGTTGTCAAGTAATAGATGATTTAATTTTCACCTTAGTTTAGTTGAAATCAGTTATGGAGAAACTGTTGCCATGTGAACGCTTTTCATGGTAATGACTAGACAAAAACCCAAATCCCCTGGTTAGGAAAGGCTCATTTGCCAAGTTATTGAGGATTTAATTTAAGTTTAGTTTAACTGCAATCAGTTATGGGGAAACTGCTGCCACAGGGACACTTGTTATGAAACGACCAAACAAAAATACACGCCCGATGGTATTTTGAAATCCATGTAGCCATTTGACATTGTTGTTCTATACTTTCTATGTAATTTATTTTAGTTAAATGAAACTTAACGCAACAGAATAAAAAGGTACTAAATACCGAACACTAGATTGTATTTTTTCTAATCCATTTGGAAACCTTACTATCTCGATAAAGTGTTAAATATGTATCTGCGCCTTCAGTTATTGACGTCATCGTTTGTCAAATGGAAAATCTCAGATCGTGGCTATAGAAGATGCAAAATCAAGTCCTGGGTTAATAATAGGGTAGTGTTCTAGGTCCTCTACTGTTTCTAATTTATATTAATGGCATTGCTGGTGTAGTCGAAAGATGCTCAATACATTTATTTGTAGATGACACACATATATTTTACCCATAAAAACACTGATACTTGTTTTAAAGAAATTAATAATTCTATAAGTAAAATATATGATTATTGTAACGTAAACTCGTTGAAAATAAATTACGAAAAGACAAAGTGGATGTTAATTGGGGGTACTGGAAATTTAAAAAAATTAAATGTAGCATCACAGTGTGTTTCTGTTGATGGAATAAAGTTTCAGAGAGTTGAAAAAGTTAAATATGTAGGGGTTATGGTTGATACAAATTTACAATTTAAGGAACATGCTAATAACGTCATCAAAAGCATATCATTTAAAACAAATTATTTGAGGCGCTGTTGTCCACATCTCAGCTAATGGGCTAAAATAATAATTTATAATACTCTAATATTACCTCATTTTAATTATTGTGGGTCCAACAATTGATTAAAAGCTCATCATCAGACAAATCATGCCAACTGTGACCTATTACGGATTCGTTCATTCTGCTCTTTCATATGGTTGAATCTTTTGGGGAAATTCTGCACATATGAACAAAGTCTTTATCTTGCAAAAGAGAATTGTTAGGTGCTTGGTAGGTGCACATCCTTCCAGAACATTGTAAACAACATTTTATTAAACTTTCAATACTAACTGTTTCAAGCTTGTAGATCTATCTGTGCTACATATAAAAAAAATCTTTCAAAGCAAACCACCAATAACATGATATACACCTATCTTACTAGGGAAGGTTGTGAACTTCATACACACTTCTCAAGATTAGCAGTTGGCCAGAACTCTCCCTATTATCAAGGAACTATCTTATATAATGATTGTGTTTGAATTCTAGGCTATTGCCTGAGAAAACACCTAAAAAATTCAAATTCATGTTGTTTCGGTTTCTTGAAGGTAAGGCCTTCTATTATGTAGAAGAATTTTTAGCATGTTAATTTTATTATTTTAAAATTTTTTTACCTATGTATAATATTTGAAGTATAAAATCAATAATTTTAAACATGAGAGAACTAGATAATATAAATAATGTGTTTTATGTGGATGTGTAATGGCAGTAAAAATACTTTATTGACGAATAAATTCTATTCTAAATAAATAAACTATGCATTTCCTCGCCACTGGATTTGGTATGTTGTTTGGCAACAGTGTGCATAACTGATTTTAGCTAAATTAAATTCAATTAATACTTGAAATTCATTTATAACTTGGCAACTACGAATTTGCTCACCACGGCATTTGGGTTTTTACTCATTACTATTGCAATTGTTGCCATGACAATAGTTTCTGCTTAACAGATTTCAGCTAAATGAAAGTTGAGCCCCTTTAGATGCCAAGTAAAAGAATTGGCTTTTTTATTCTGTGTCATCGGCATTAATTGCTATGATTATTAGCCCCGTGTTGCACGGGTGTGTAGTTATCCACATCCACAAATGTACACTGAGAAAAATATAACTCTATCGTAATAGTCATATAACTTGGTTCAAATTACCTGTAGAGGCTTTTCATTTGTAGATTTCAATTGGGGAGGTTTCAATACACAGCAACCATACCCGCAATTAACTTTTGCTTTGTCTCAGGGGGTGCAATTGGGGGTGAAATTTAAAAAAAAATCATAGAAGCCACAAATGGCTTTGTACACCTTTCTGCTTGGGATATGTTATGTAGTTTACTCTTTTCTTCATCCCTGATACCATGCTGGAGTTTGTCGAGCCGTCTGAGGGGGTGCAATTGGGGATGAAATTAAAAAAAACATAAAAGCCACAAATAGCTTTGTACACCTTTCTGCTTGGGATATGTTATGTAATTTTCTCTTTTTTTCATCCATGATAGCATGGTGGAGTTTGTCGAGCCGTCTGAGGGGGTGCAATTGGGGGTGAAATTAAACAAAAAATCATAGAAGCCACAACTGGCTTTGTACACCTTTCTGCTTGGGATATGTTATGTAGTTTGCTCTTTTCTTCATCCCTGATAGCATGCTGGAGTTTGTCGAGCCGTCTGAGGGGGTGCAATTGGGGATGAAATTAAAAAAAAATCACAGAAGCCACAAATGGCTTTGTACACCTTTTTACTTGAGATATGTTATGAAGATAGCTATTTTCTTTATGCCTAATACCATGCTGGAGTTTGTCGAGCCGTCTGAGGGGGTGCAATTGGGGGTCAAATTAAACAAAAAATCATAGAAGCCACAAATGGCTTTGTACACCTTTCTGCTTGGGATATGTTATGTGATATATTTTAAATTTCGGAAAACTTATATTAGAACATATTGTCCATATTTCTATTATTTCAGCTCAGAATCACTTCTCTTTTTCCGGATGTGATATTTTTTATTTCCACAGCTTAATGATTTGGAATTTTAAAAATAAAAAACATAAAATCGAGAAGGGCCCTCTTAATTTTGACAAAAAGGAAAAACATAAAATTATCAAAAAAGATCTTCATGAAGAAATCTTTATGAAGAAAAGAGCCAACTAGATAATATATCACAAGCAGAAAGGTGTACAAAGCCATTTGTGGCTTCTATGGTTTTTTTTTCACCCCCAATTGCACCCCCTCAGACGGCTCGACAAACTCCAGCATGGTATCTGGAATGAAGAAAGGGGCAAACTACATATCATATCGCATGCAGAAAGGTGTACAAAGCCATTTGTGGCTTCTTTAATTTTTTTATTTCACCCCCAATTGCACCCCCTCAGACGGCTCGACAAACTCCAGCATGGTATCAGGCATAAAGAAAATAGCTATCTTCATAACATATCTCAAGTAAAAAGGTGTACAAAGCCATTTGTGGCTTCTGTGATTTTTTTTTTAATTCCATCCCCAATTGCACCCCCTCAGACGGCTCGACAAACTCCAGCATGCTATCAGGGATAAAGAAAAGAGCAAAACTACATAACATATCCCAAGCAGAAAGGTGTACAAAGCCATTTGTGGCTTCTATGATTTTTTGTTTAATTTCACCCCCAATTGCACCCCCTCAGACGGCCCGACAAACTCCAGCATGGTATCAGGCATAAAGAAAATAGCTATCTTCATAACATATCTCAAGTAAAAAGGTGTACAAAGCCATTTATGGCTTCTGTGATTTTTTTTAAATTTCATCCCCAATTGCACCCCCTCAGACGGCTCGACAAACTCCAGCATGCTATCAGAGATGAAGAAAAGAGCAAACTACATAACATATCCCAAGCAGAAAGGTGTACAAAGCCAGTTGTGGCTTCTATGATTTTTTGTTTAATTTCACCCCCAATTACACCCCCTCAGACGGCTCGACACTCCATCATGTTATCAGGCATAAAGAAAATAGCTATCTTCATAACATATCTCAAGTAAAAAGGTGTACAAAGCCATGTGTGGCTTCTGTGATTTTTTTTTAATTTCATCCCCAATTGCACCCCCTCAGACGGCTCGACAAACTCCAGCATGGTATCTGAGAGAAAGAAAAGAGCAAATTACATAACATATCGCAAGCAGAAAGGTGTACAAATCCATTTGTGGCGTCTATGATTTTTTTTTTAAATTTCATCCCCAATTGCACTCCCTCAGACGACTCGACAAACTCCAGCATGGTATCTGGGATGAAGAAAAGAGCAAACTACATAACATATCGCTTGCAGAAAGGTGTACAAAGCCATTTGTGGCTTCTATGATTTTTTTTATTTCACCCCCAATTGCACCCCCTCAGACGGCTCGACAAACTCCACCATGCTATCATGGATGAAAAAAAGAGAAAATTACATAACATATCCCAAGCAGAAAGGTGTACAAAGCTATTTGTGGCTTTTATGTTTTTTTTAATTTCATCCCCAATTGCACCCCCTCAGACGGCTCGACAAACTCCAGCATGGTATCAGGGATGAAGAAAAGAGTAAACTACATAACATATCCCAAGCAGAAAGGTGTACAAAGCCATTTGTGGCTTCTATGATTTTTTTTTAAATTTCACCCCCAATTGCACCCCCTGAGACAAAGCAAAAGTTAATTGCGGGTATGGTTGCTGTGTATTGAAACCTCCCCAATTGAAATCTACAAATGAAAAGCCTCTACAGGTAATTTGAACCAAGTTATATGACTATTACGATAGAGTTATATTTTTCTCAGTGTACATTTGTGGATGTGGATAACTTCACACCCGTCCGTGTTGCGTGGTCTTTGTTACTGTTTTCCAGCACTACTTTAGGAACAGCACTAGTAATTGGAACCTAACAGCGAATGGTAGAGTGGGAAATCCTACCTATGCATTTGAAATAATTTTTAATTTAATAAATTAAATAAAAAGCCCTGCCACCGGCAGGATTAGAACCTGGGACCCTAGAATCTGAAAGTTCTTACTCTAATTACTAAGTTACCCACACCCTTAATAATTATTAATAATAAATTGAAAATTTATAACTCTTTATACAACATTAACATATAGGATATCTCTGATAAGACTTGTTGGTCATTACTCGGGTCATTGTCATTACTAAGCTGATATGATTTTATCAAATGATTTCAAGTCTTTACAAATTCTTTTAATACAGATACATTAATTTAAAATATTACAGTCTAAGGGGTCTATTCTGTAAAAATTCCTTTATATTTAACGGCCTTTAAAAATATTTTCTTCTTTAATTCGGTCACTATTTAAACGGATCTTTAAAATACATTAGAGGACTATCTTAAAGAAATCTGTTTAAATAATGATAGAAGTAAATTAACGAATACGAACATATTTTTATAGGACGCCAATATTTTTAAAGGCCGTTAAATATAAAGGAATTGTTACAGAATAGACCCCTAAGAATGTGTTAGAAAAGAGATATGATAAAATTTATTAAAAATTTAAAAACCTGTTATTTGTAGTTGATGATTAACTGCTAAATATAAACAGTTTCCATCTGCTGGAATATTGTGCAATTTTAAATTCATCGATCTAAGTACTTGTTTAATTGCATTAGTTTCTAAAACTCTGGGACCTTCCCTATTCTTCTCAGATTGTTCTATTATTCTCTTTTCTCGTTCTTTTGCTTCAAATTCCTTTTTGTTTCTTCTTTTTTGAGCCCTGGAGATCCGAGTATTATTAAAATTGTCAGATTCTTGTTCATCAGTCTCGTTTTCATTGTTCTCGGTCTGTTCTATACTATTTTCTTCTGTTGGTAAAATACTAAATTTATTTTCATCAAGCTCATTCTTGTGTTTTTCATCTAGTTCCAATTCTAATTTGGCTATTTCATCTGTAATTTCTTTCTTTTTCTTTTTGTCACCTTTTGGAACACTTTTTTTAATTGATTGTATTTTAGATTGTAAGTCTTTCTTTTCTTGCTTATGTCTTTTCAATAGATCCTCATGAGTTAAAAGGTCTCCTTCCATTTTTGGAGTTTAAAAAATAAAATACTATTATTTACACTACTGCCATCCGATCGGGTGGGAAAGTTAGGTTATGCCGTTACTTTACTTCTTCTTCTATCTCTTCTCTATTTGTAATGTTTATGGCCTCTTGCCCTTGCCTGTAGTAGACAGGGCCGGTGTTTTAAATTTTGAAATTTTTGAGTTATGACATTCTCCTAAAATGAATGAAATTATAAAATATCTAGAAAAAGTAAGTATATTTAAGGGCTACCCTAACCGCAAGGCAAAAAATGGGCTTTAGAACTGAAGCGCAAGCTTTTTAGAGGTTACCATTTTCATTGGTGTTATATATTTTTTGTTATTTAATCATTAGTTCTTTTTAATCAAAATCTTTTCCTGATAAAAATTACCAAATAACCCGTTCTAAATGAAATAGCAAATATTTTATGTATATGCATATATTTGTTTTGGAGTTTGGTAATAAATATTGTGTTAGCAGTGTTGTAACGAATCCACAACTGCGCATTAGTAAAAAATTCAAATTAAAAAAAAACTGCGCATTAGTATCCGCAAGTTTTGTTTTTAAAAGGTCCGCATCCTCATCTGCAATCTCATAATTTCTATGTGGATGTATACTTACGCGCAAAAAACTTTACGGACGTAGCTCAGCCTTCTTCACCAGGCAGCCAAAAAAAAGTTTCCACAATCAATAGTATATTAACGTTCTTAATACAAACAGCGAAGATGAAAATGATAATGATTATGCATATAATAAAGAAAATGTTTAATGAATATAATATTAAAAAAAAAAACTACATTTTGATGAAGATATACTGTAGTTGTGGTGTTATTAGCGAATAACTAATTAGTGGGGCAGGTTTTACCTACCCACGATGAACTGAGAAGGCAAGAAGGTCTACAAGTTATTGTTTATTAAATACAATATACCATTAATAAACTTACAATATTAAAAATGAATAGAGCAGAGTTCCAGTCTATTTTTTTAGTTGCTTGCTTTTTTTTAATTATTTTGCTTTACATATGTAAAGTGTTACATAATTGTTATTAAATTATTTAAAGTTCATTTTTTTATTTCGACCATATATCCGTATCTTCAAAATTGAATTTTATTACATCCGTATCCTCGCATTCTGCATCCTCAAAACCGTGTCAAAATTATGTCATCCCACGTCATCCTCATCTGCTAAATCGTGGCTAAATCCATTACAAGTATGAAGACTAGAGAGAAGGAGGCGAAACGGCAATGGACACATTTCAAATTTCCGTCCTTCCTTTTATAAAGTTCGCGAAATTGACTGTAGTTGGCAATGACAGCGTTGTCAATTTTCTATGTAAGTCAATGTAAAATGAAGTCATTTTTTAAAAAAATGGTGAAAATAATCAAAATAATGTGAATAAAAGTACCTGAGTACCAGAAACATGAGTGACAAAAAACATCAAAGCAAAATTTACGTCGTTCCAGATTGTAAAACAAGATAAAAATCAAATGTAAAACTAAAGAAAACACAAGAAGAAATCATTTCAATGTCTTTTTAAAGCTTCTAATGTAAGTAAAATAATGTATTCATGTCTAAATATAATATTTATTGTAAACTAGTCACAATATGTATCTTACGAAGTGAAGTTTATTTTATTACAAGTTTCTATAATATAAAATTTTACGGTCATAGATGCTGACTTACAAGCAACAATAATTATTTAACTTACTAGAAAAGAAAATTTATTTTTTATAGAGTTTTAATGTTAGATAAAGAGTTGCTACCGTTATTTTTTTTTTTTTTTTGACCTCAATTCTGCCATTGTAGATGTTTTTTATATGATACTAAACGTTTAGGACAGTGGCAGCATATATATCGTTCCTAGGCCGATAAAGCACCTTCTAGAGATGATGCTGTTCTAAACTTTTTAAAAGAACAAATATTAGACTATTTTTACTGATGGTACTGTTAGCAAAATAAAAAGGGAAAAGTTGAAATTAAAGGAAGAGGTAATACCATGTAGTACATTATATATAATATTACCTTGACACGTTGCGCGCCAATTTGTAATATTTGTCGTTACCATTTTGATAAATGTTAATTTCAAAACACTTATAGAGATTTTTACTAGCTCAGTGAAATTTAATATAAAACGTTACTTACCTTAAAAATAAAAAAAAAATAATAAATGAGCACATTGACCATATTTTTCTCTGTCGTGAATTCGGCTTTTCCAATAGACAATTTTAGGGTAATAATTTTTCTAGATAATGTTGGGCACCAATAATTCTCTTTTTTTATTTTTAAAAGCTAGTGAGAATTATAAACTCTAGCTTTATTAATAAAAAGAAGTTAATAAAAATTTATACAAAATTTAGTGTGAATAAAAGAGAAACCTTTAAAAAATAAGATTCAACATATATACTTATAAAAATTAACGATTTTATTCAGATAACAAGAAACCGTTCAGAAAACAAATTATTTACAGTTTATCAGGTATCAATTTTGATTCGGTCATAAATAATTTTAGTCACTAGTAATTACCACATTTTTGCTTTTTTGCTAGCCACTTCTTTTGTAGGTAGTTGAGATTTCTGCCCCTCTGGAACCAACGCCTTTATCGGTTACTCGTTATTCCTAGTAACTTCGAGTTGTAACTGCCCCTTTTTCGTTAACTCAGCTCGATCAATTTACAACGTTTAAATTACTGCGTGTAGTTTATAGCTTGAGGGTTACAGCGTGTGGATTACTGCGTGTGGTTTACAGCGGTTGAGTTATGGCTGATTTCATTCGTTTTCTAGACAAAAATAGATTTTGTTTTTCATGTGGCTCTGTACGATATATAAATTTGAAACATCTACTTTTTTTTTAAAATGAACCAATAGATAATAAAAACTAGTGACTATACATATTGTGCCGTTCTAGCAACCAGAATGAATCATAAAAATATATTTAACTTTACTATCAAAAAACTAATAATTAACAAAAGGTTTGAATAGTATTTCTACTGAGATATTTTATAAAGACATTATACTTTTTTTATGCTTACCACTTTAACAGCCAAAACACCACCAGATACGAGCAGAAGGTAATAATAAATGAAATTTAAATTTCTAATGCGAGATCGTTTGGATAGTGGTACTCCCACTTCAAGAAATTTCCCTTTCTTTAGAATATGGTGTTTGGCGATAATTGAATTATACCGGATGGCACACATTTAAAATAACATTTTATAATTAGACTTTTAAAATGTTACAACATTCACAAATTTCCCTTTATTACAACAATAAAAAATCTGTTAACTGTGTTTTATTTTATCAATTAAAAACATGCAAGACTTATTTAGAAATAAATACAACAATATGTTCTGTGCTTTATTTAGCTATAAACAAGTTTAATTTTATTATTTTGATAAGAATATGTATAATTCCCATAAAAGCCATGTATTTTGAACACCATGCAGTACCAGCGCCCGTCCGGTTAATTATAGAAGCTCAATTAGCATGCGTTTTTTGGGACCGTATTTTGAGTATGCCGATTCGTCTCCTTATCTCTAGTCTTCATAATTACAACTCTAGTAAATAAGTTAATTTTGTTTTTTTTTTTGTTTATTATAAAGTTTGTTTCTGTTTATATAAATTTTTCAGGTTTGAATATTTTTGTTTTTGTTTAATGCAATGGTAATAAATTACCTTTTTCTAGTTCTGACACTTTTATATAACTGCTTTGCCATTCTAATGAAAAGGGTCCCAATATTTTTAGTAGCCCACAGGCGCCGAATATCTTAGGACGGCCCTGGCAGTAATGTAAAGTAATCGAGTGATCTTCGGTTCTTTATACTGGCCCAAAGATCAAACCACATCAATTAACATCCTTTGAAGTTTAGTAATTAACACATTAATTAGTGAATATGAAATGGTAATGATAGGAGATTGAGCATTTAAAAAATAATCAGTGGATGTGGGCGGATAATAATATGGTTGAAGGCCTGACATGTGACAGTGACAAATTAATACTGACACTATTGACAGTGACAGTACGCTCAAAATGGCTATGTAGTTGTTGGCAGATTTGTTTACAATTATCGTTTTTATTTAATTAGAAATAAATGTGTAAAATAGTTTAAGTATTCATTTAATTTCATTGAGCAGTATTAATTCAATTTAGTGTATAGTACCGGGAAAATGTTGAATACAAGTTTTTTGTACGAAAAGAGGCCTTTGAAAAAGCCTCGGATCGGTCCCCCTGATGTATATCCACAAGAACCAAAGCAAAAAGAGGATGAACTTACCAGCATAAATGTTAAACATGGTTTTCCAACCATGACCCATCTCAGCGATGAATTTGGAACAGCAAGAAATTGTAATGTTACAGCTAGCAAGGTATTAATTTCGATTTTTAAATATCTCACTTATTGAAATTTATACTGTAAATTTGGTCTAGGTCGGTGCATACTTTAATGCAATTATTGCACGCAAAGAAGAATTATCTATGTTGCCTGATTCGGGCCGAAAGAGACAACAAATCAATCCTAAAGATAATTTTTGGCCTGTTACAAATAGGACTAAAAAATCACATAGAAGCTTGGTTTAAAGATTTATCTGGCAACAAACCTTTAATGAATTTATCTAAGAGAGCTCCAAATTTTAATAAAAAGGAAGAAATATTTGTAATGTTAACTGAATATCAAGTTCCCATGTTAAGAGCAGCTTGGTTTATAAAACTTAGTTCTGCTTACACTGTTGCTGTTTCTGAGGCTAAGATAAAGAAAAGGCAAATGCCTGATCCAACTACAGGTATGATGTATTTAAGTACCTAATACTTTGATAAGAAAAAAGTATGGCTCACCCCCTTGCTACTAATATTTAATTATGTATTTACAGAATGGACTGGCACAACACTGAAGTTCCTTAAAGATCAAATACCAAAATTGCAAGAGTACTATTGCCAAAATGAAAAACCTGCCAATTCTACAATTAATGCTGTTCATACAAATGAGACTGAACAGAAGCTTGCTCTACGTCACTGGAATTATTGTACAAGACTGTTAAAATATATGTATGAAGAAGGTATGTATATGTATTTATTTAAATTTAGTTTTTTTTCTACAAAAAGTTCCCAGTCCCTTTGTTTATCAAAACCTTTAAAAAAAAATAATGAAACATTAGTTGCTTATATTGATGAGTAGGTATACACTGAATAATTCAGTTCTAATTTGAGATGAAAATAATAAACATTTGATCCTAAATTTAATATAATAATCCTTTGCAGGACTAATGGATAGACAAGAAGTTCTAACTTGGTTAATAGAACTCTTAGAAAAACAAAAATCTCAACAACCTTCTGATGACGGCATTTTAAGATTATTTTTACCTATTACCTTACAATATTTAGATGAATTTGTTCAGTCGGAACTATTATCAAGACGCTTGGCACATTTTTGCACAAAAAAACTGGGAAGTATGCTTAGTACTGTTGCTGATACTAATGTAATGACATCACCTCCTAGTGAGAGCAAGACTGAACAGAAAGATTCTGAAAAGGAAAAGAAGGAAACTACACCCACTAATCCATTACAAAACACTATGATTGAGTATCAAAATTGTCCTCATCATCGGGATATAAGTAAGTTAAATACTATACTGTTATTTTTTGTCACTTTTTTGTAATTTTAACATCTAATTTTATAAACAGATAATGCTACATGAATATCTTATTTTTGCATTTGTTGTATAATCTTTTATCTAAGTGGTATTCAATAATATCTAATGTAGGGTCATGGCACTACTTATGGCTACTACCTTACTTATGGCCATTTCTTGCTTTAAGACCTAAAAATAAACGTTTGGCACCATTGTAAACTATAATGGTGGTTGGAGAAGGTAAATAAGTATGTGGTTACATGATTGGGCAGGTTTGCAACTAACAAACCAAGTCTATTGAAAATCAGTAAAATAAATAGTTAGCATGTGTAATACATGCAAGCATTACTTGTTGTTTTGGCTAAGAATGTATCTGTAAACATTGGAACAAAACTCAGATTTAGTGAAGATATTTTTGAAAATGTTCCATTCCAAAGGTAAGTAGGTACCCAATGTATTTTGTTTTCAACATCATATTTTTTTTAAATAAAAATAAATATCAATGTGGCCACAAGTAATGACAAGAAATTAAGAATTTGTGAGTTATGGCCTCAAGAGTGGCTAAAAGCAAAATCTCATATTTTACTTATGGGCATCACAGTTATTGTGTGGGTTGTGGGAGTTACTTGTTTTTTTAGCTAAGAAGATGAAATGTCACTGGCATCTGACAGCAGTGGCAGTTTCTCAAATATAGAACCAGCAGTGATTATGCAGTTAGGCAAAACATTAAAACCAGGTGACTTTATATTGATACAATTTAGTGCCTGTGAAAAAAGCAAATCGACCGTGTATAAATAAATATGTACACCAAACTATGGAGAATGAAATAGAAGTCTAGTGCTTAAAAAGCACAAAGAAAAAATTACGGTTGGATATATATTGAAAATGAGATTTCCAGTGTTCCCATATTTGATGTTTTAGGACTGTTAACTGAGCATTATCTAGTAGAACAAGGTTGAAAATTGGTTATACCATTCTTAAGAAGTGTTATGGTACCATTTGGGAAGGCAAGACCGATATCGATTTCAAGCGTCAGGCAGCAAGCAGCAAATCCTATCCTACTAAAAGTGCTGTCGTCGGTCACGCCTTCCCAAATGTGTTTCATTTAATTGCATGTGTTCAGACGTTTAGAGACCGTTTTCGGTTTCCTTCACTGTCATTTTGCGCTTGAAGTTGGTCTCAGTCTCGCCTTCCCAAATGTTCATGAAAAATAAATTTCATATTTTAGTAAAAATGTTAAGTTGTTATACCTTACCTATTCTAAATCACTACTGGGTACATACATGTAAATAAACATGCACTTAAATTATTATTTGAAAATGCAACTCAAAAATTAGTGGCCATAAGTAGAGAACTAGTGGCGGACTGATGGCCAAAAATAAAGAATTTCTTTCACTTTTATAAAAAAAATTTAAAAGAATTCCATGCTATTAACAAAATAGATACATATACTGTTGAAAACTACATACTTCAACCTATCAAATAGTATTTCTATTTATTTTTTTCTGTTAAAATATTATTGAAAAACAGACCCCACAAAAGCATTTTTGCCTTAAGTAGTGCCATGACCCTATAATAACTATACTAAATATAAGATTGACAAGTCAGCATAGTGAGATAAGATAACAGTGTAGTCAAATTGTCATTATAAAATTGGCATTTGGTATCATTTAAATAAATAAAATTAAAAGCCTAAAACCATAAAACTCAAAATTAAAAATTGGCTAATTATTTAAATTATTCAGAACAAAACGATTTACAAATAGATTCTCTTGATATTTTGAATGTTTTCATTCGTTCTTAATGATTTTTATGTAATTATTGATTCACATCTTAATTCTTATTTCTCTAGTTCTCCAACTTAGTACCACCATCCAAACCATAGTATTAGAATGCCCCACTGGTCTTGTATGGTGCGGTACAGGAATTGGTACAATTTGGCATGGTTCTCCCTTAGATAATTTGCCAATATTACCATCACTGCTACCTGTACCACCAAGGTGCGATATGAATAGTTATAGAAAACAAATAATGTATGCTGAAAATTGCATAAGAGAGAGAAGTAAAAAAGCTGAAGGAAGATGGTGTACTGATAAATGGCAGGCCTCTCCAGCAGGTAAAGAATATTTTATGTTTGACAATTATTTCATTAACACAAAAATCCATACAGAAGATATTTAGAGTAGTTTCTTTATAACCTAGAATAATTTTGAATTGTGATTTATTATTGCTTGTTTCGTAATATTTATTTTTTGGAATTAGTGCAATACATTTTTTAGGTACAGTTACTACCAGAGTGTTAGCAGCATTAGATGCTTTGGATAGACACCGTTTTGACAAAATGGATTCCACAAATTCATTAGACACTTTATATGCAAAGGTAAAAACAACATACATAAAATTCAATAAAATAAAACATTGCAAAATATAGATAGATTTATTTATTAATTAGGAATCCCTAATATACATATAAAATATAAATTACAAAGCATAAAAAAACGTAAGTACAGTATACAATTGCTAAAATTTTTCTATAACTAAATGGCAAGTATTATTTAAATAGGAATTAAAAATGTTACTACTTCCTTCTCATGTGTGTTCCAGAGAAGTTTGTTGTCCAGGGTTAGGCCTAGATATTTGACCTTATTTTTCCATTCTATATCTATCCCGTCTAATTTAACGGTTTTGAGATTGTGTTTTATTTTCCTTAAAAAGGCTACTAGTGTTGTTTTTGTAGGGTTTATACTAAGTCCCACTTCACGGCACCATCTTTTGGTATGTTCTTTAGCAAATATGACCATGTCGTAGGCATAACCTTGACATGGAATGCTGAGGTCAGTCAATCTCCCTAATCTTCCTAATAACAACCTTTCCTTTCTCTCCTTGTCCCTCACTATTAATTAACATTTCAAATTTAATATTAAAATTTCATACTATACCATTGTCATCATCACAACAATTTAATAAATTCTCTAAAGAAAATACCTTCAAAAGCTGCAACTACTACCCTTCATTTGCATAAATCATTAGGTAGGAATCACCTTTGTAACACATTAATAGTGTATAACTTCCTCACTTTAAAGGCCCATAGTTGTCGAACTGACTTAGAGTTTTCTTTCCTCATTTATAAATACAAACCTAAGTCATTCTGAGTAATATATGTTTCATATTAAATAATCTTTAAATATTAATTTAATTTAGATGAATCATAGTATGCTTTTAATAGTGTGTTATAATGTGGCAACGTTTTAGATATTTAACAATAATGACCAAGAAAATGCTGTAGTAAAACTTCTTTGTGAATGGGCAGTATCACCAGAAAGAACTGGCGAACACAGAGCACTAGGAGTTGCCGCTTTACTAGACAGACGACAGTCTGATACTAATCCGACTGGAGATCAAGAAACCACTGCCGGAGATGATAAGGACTCAAATAGTAGCGTTCCTGGAGGACCGCCAATGTTTCAATCTCTTTTAATGAAGTTTTTAGATAATGATGCCCCTCTGCCAACTCCAGATGATTGTCCAATGGTAAGTCAAGTATATTAATTAAAAAAAGTGATATAATCATTGTAAATGATATCTTATATGGGAAATAATTTAATTTATAAATTATAAATTAGATACTTTTTTATTTCTTGAAAGGACAAGCTTCAAAATGTATGAGCCTAAAAACTTGAATGGCTTGCTGAATGACATGAACTTTTTTTTCTTTCTTTCCCACATCCCTCAGCTTCCCTCTGAGGGGTCGCGTCAGGCTTGTGGCGATAACTATTGCTTCCATGGTAATGTGTTTCGCTTACCATAGATTTAGCTTTAGGGAGTTCACAATTCAATTTTGTAAAATATTTCTAAAAAGAAATAAAACCAAGTTTTCATTAATTTTATTTTATTTGTGGCACAAACTGCGCGAATGGCGTACAGGTTCATCCAATCAGACTTGGGTTCCAGCCTGCCTTGTCTATGAGATTCTCATGGCAGGCACTGTACACCCATGTGCTTGCTTGCTGAGCTGTGTTCAGTGAATATCTTTCACAGTCAGTTGAACTTCAAATTATTTACAGTCATATTTTTTTTTCTAACATTGCTGGCGATTGTCAAAACGTAAAAAGAAATCTTGGATCGATTTAGGGTGTGATATTTGTATATAATTAAAAGTAATACTTAAGACGTTACGCTACAATCTAAACTTATTTTATAACAAACTACGGATAACTATAATAAATTCAAAAATATTTAATCAGCTACTGCATTCTTTAAAAAATATTAAGTCTCATTCATTATTTAGAAGTAAGTTAAAAGAACTATACTCATTGTAACCTAACAGTTTTGACCGCTGGTTACTAAAATTTTATTGTATTATTTATTATAGTGTACTCTTACTATTTTATATATTTTTTTATGTGTTTGACATTATAATGTACCAAATATTGCATGTTTTTAATATTAATTTTATTTCTTAACTTTTTTGCTCTAGATTTATTTATATTTTAATGCTTTGTCTATAGAATTGGTTTTCTCTGACAGTATAGTAGTTTGTGCAACAAGACAACCCACTCGAGTTGTACAGTATATTTTTTCTACGACTCACTAACAAAAATTTACAAATTTATTAAGACAAAATAACTAATTTTAAAATTATTTATGACTTTTACTAATTTATAAAATAAAATAAACAAAAAATCCTCAAAAATACCTCACATAATTAATGGACGCCTCCTAATTGAGTGCCCATACAAAGCACCTATTTACACCAAATTAGCGCCACCTTGTGTATATAAGTCTGAACTTAAATGACAATTGACAAATGGTGGTAAATTCGAACTACAATTTGTATCTGTAGTTATAAATGAAATTCTAAATAAATCCTATATCAATTATATTATGAAACTGTTTAATTTTCATAGTAACACATTCTAGTGTTTGGTTTGGAGACAGTAACAAGAAATATCAGTTGTCGGTTTTGACCTTGGTCATTTGCGTGGAATCTATCTGCTTTGTGACTGCCGGTATATTAAAATATGAATTTATTTAACTTTCTTTTATTGCTTATTTTTAGAAAAAAACAGCATTCTCCAATTTGGTACATTTGTTTTCTGAATTAATTCGACGAGATGTATTTTCGCATGATGCTTACATGTGCACACTTATATCAAGGGGAGATCTTTTGGGACTAGAAGAAAATACAGACAATGTTTCCAATCATCATCATCATACAAAAATGGAGGTAGTATAATTTTTCCTTTATTAAAACAAATTAAAAATCCTGAAATAATAATAATAAAATCATCCTATACCTTTGAGTATGCAAGTGATAATATTATACAGGGTGTCCACTTTTTAATTCAAATGTATTGCTATCTCATGTACCGTTGAGGACACAAAGTGGGTTAATTTAAAAAAAAAATGTTTTTCAATCATTTTCTTGTTACATATTTTAAAGATATTAAGAGAAACATTGAATAAATATTTACAAATGTCGTACAGAATCTGTCAACTAAACAATGCTGTAATATGTACTGATTTTTTTTCGTAATCTTTATTTAGGAATTCCATACATTTTAAGTACAATCGTTGACAAATCTGATTTTTTATTATAGTGAACCCAAACTTTTAAAATAAATAACATACCGTGTTATTGCAAACTAAGAAACGTAACACAGATCCTGACATTTTAGATTTTAAAACGTTCTCAGATTCAACTTGAAAAAATACATTTTTTCCATTCGACCAACTTTGTGTCACCAATTTAACATTTAACAATCTAACATATAATAATCCTGCATAGGATCATAAAATATACCTCTTTTAAACGTGTATTATCTCATTCTATTAGCCAATGGATTGTGATGACAACATCGACCACGACATCGATAAAATTCTTCAAAATATTAAAGAGGATCAACAAAACTCGATGGACTTTCCAGATAGTCCCAAGGAACATGATCATAGTCACCACTCTCATGTTCCGTCATCTATGGGACACGTACCAATGGAAACCGATCACAATGACCACAAAGTTAAACCTTCGAGGCATTTATTATACACTACACACTTTCCTTTGAGTCAAGATGATCCATTTTCGCAACACGACTGTAATCAGAGACATGTGCTTTTGTATGGGGTTGGGAAAATCAGAGATGAGGCAAGGTAATCACTTTAACTTGAAAATAGATACTTTTAAAGTTACCTATATTTTATGTCTTATTAAAACGCAATAGAATATTTCTTTCGGAATACACTTATTTATATCTCAGAATATTTTAAATTTAAATAATAGCTTCAGTAATACGTTTTCTAATACATATTTATTATTATTTTTTTTATGACCATTACACAAAATCACATATTTATTTTTATTTATTTATTAAATGCTAGAAATATAGGAAACAGTCTTATCAAAAATAACAAAAAAAATCACAAGAATATACAATGCGAATATGCAATGATAATATTTCAGTGCCTACATCCTATTCAATAGCGATTATATTGCATCAAAGTATCCTTTGTAGAGTGCTCCAAACACTTGAAAAGAGTTATTAAAAACATCCAATCTACCCTCTTTATTTAAAAACTCTTGAGATCTGTCCATAAAAGAATGTCTACCATAATTTGTGCTTTGTAAATTATTGGAAAATAAATTATTTTGCCGTAGCGTTCTTTGTGGCACTACAGTGTTTATTTCAGACAGAAAAAATGGACATGAGATAATACCATTTAATATTTTATAAATAAGAGAAATATCACACATAATCCTTTTGTCTAGAGTAAGCAATGTTAGCTTATGTAGAATAAGAGAATAGTCATGATCGGCAATAAGATCCATGTTAAATGTATAATTATAATATATCAAGAATTTATTTTGTATTCTCTCGAGTAATGACTTATAAACGTTATACTGAGCTAAATAATTGAACCATATTCAAGTTGTCATCTGTCCAATCCAACATACACTGACTTCAAAGCAGATATGCATCTAGCCATAAGAATACTAATTTTTAGAAAGGTAAATCAATTGTCCCTGTATTATCAAAATGTTGGTTGTATGAGAACTAGAACCAAGGAATTTGTTATTGCTCTGTCTACTTGTGATTTCGATGTCATTGTTTTAGTTGAAACTTAACTGTGTCTTGGCATTGAGGATGCAGAGTAGGGGTTTGCCGGCTACTCATTATACAGATGCGATCGCGATACAAAACTAACAGGTAAATCTAGAGGAGGAGGAATCTTAATTGCCGTTAAAAGTAACATCGATTATGTAAAGTTGGAACTCCCTATTGGTGCAGTTTATTGTGAACAGATTTGTGTCTCAATTCAAAATGAATGTTGCATTTGTGCCGGTGGATGTGTATAAGTACCATGGTCAAACTGTTGAATACATTTGTGAAAGTCATGATGACAAGAATATATATTGTGTCAGCGATTACAATCTACCGGAGGTTGTTTGCTAAATGAAATTGATGGTATTATAGACTGTAATGGTGGTCCAGCAGCACAAGCGTTAATTGAATACTTAGCACTCAGTAACTTGTATCAGTTAAATGAAATCCACAATGGTAACAACAGAGTCTTAGATTTAGTTTTTAGTAATGTATTTAGATATTGTGTGTTTTTATCTGATTATTTTTTATTAATACTAATGTTTACACCATCTACCTCTTGAGTTGTGTTTGTCTTTAAACTTTAATGAAGGTGGTAATGTGAATGAGAATGTTTATGATTTTAGCTTGGCCGACTATAAAAGTCTGAATGATATTTTTATTAATATTAACTGGGATGTGTATTTCATTCACAATGATATTAATAGTTGTGTATCCATTTTCTATGATATTGTATATAGTAATTTAGAATTATTTGTACCTAAGAAAAAAATTAATTACAATAAATTTCCCATTTGGTTTACAAGTGAATTAAAAAACTTGATATCGAAAAAAAGCAGCTCATTTGAGATATAAAAAAAGCAGATCTTAATCACCATTATAATGAGTATAAAAATTTAAGATCGCGCTGTAAATTATTGCCAAAAGAATGTTATTAATCATATATTCAGGATACTGAAATGTTGATTAATTTTAGTTCCAAACTATTTTGGAAATTTGTTAACTCTAAACGTCGTAATTGTGATATGCCAAGTACAGTGAGACTAGAAGATAAAGTTTTTACTGAAAATCAGTCAATTGCAAACGCTTTTGCTGAATATTTTTGTTCAGTTTACAGTTTTGATCAAAATGACACTGATAATTTTAAATTTGTTGATAATGATTTTATTGATGTTAATAATATTACTATATCTATAACTGATGTGTTAGGATGTTTGAATTCACTTGATATTGGGAAGAGTCTCGGGCCAGATCAGATTACAAATCAGTTTTCGAAGCAGTGTGCCTTTGCTATGGCAAGACCTTTGTGGCTTTTGTTCAAGAAATCGCTGACTGAAGGCATTTTCCCCACCAAGTGGAAAAAATCATTTGTTAAACCTTTGTTGAAGTCTGGAGATCCTTCGCTTATTACTAATTATAGATTAATTACCAGTTTGTCTTCAATTCCTAAAATTTTCGAGAGTATTGTTAATGACCAACTAAGTGGAAAGCTTTCAAATATGGTTAGTAGCAAACAACATGGCTTTCATGTTGGCAGATTAATTACAACCAATTTGATGCTCTTTACCGAGTATGTTGCTACTGCTGTAGAAGATGGTCATCGAGTTGATACAATTTATAGGGATATGACCAAGGCTTTTGATCAAGTTGACCACAATATTTTGTACTGAAAATTGTATGCTCTAGGAATTTATGGACAGGCTTTGAATTGGCTAATTTCTTATTTTACAGACCGTGTTTGTTGTGTAAAACTTCAAAATGCCATTTCTAGTGAATATGCAGCGATGTCAGGGGTTCCTCAGGGATCACACTTGGGTCCATTGTTATTTAGTATTTACAATAATGATGTAGTGAAACATTTAAATGATGCTGAAGTTTTAATGTATGCTGATGATATCAAATTGTATAATATCATTAAAGATTCATCTGATTGTCTTGTACTACAGAACAATTTGGACAGTTTGAACGAATACTGCTTTTTGCATGGATTAATAATTAATCCCCTAAAATGTAACGTAATATCTTTCTATAAGGAGCATAACATAAATCTTAATTAATCATACTTATGATTTGCATGGAAATCGTGTTAATAAAGTTGATAGTATAAAAGATCCCTTTGAAGTTAACTAATATCAAAATCATTCAGAACCATTAAAAATAATTTGAGATCATCAGCGAACATTAAAAATTCACAATGCTTTATACAATCTTTGAGGTCGTTGATAAACAGACTAAATGGTAAAGGAGAATAATGCTTACCCTGAGGAACCCCAGACTTGACATCGATCTCTTCTGACAAAAAATTGCCAATTTTTACCAACAATTTTCTCTCACTGAGAAAACTATGTACCCATTTTGCTAGATTGTCTGAAAAACCTAGATTTTTAACTTCTCAATAAACAACCGGTAATTAACTCTGTCAAATACCTTGAAGAAGTCGGTATATATGGCTACAACCTGATACCCCCTCTCCAAGGCATTTGAAAGTTTACTATTATATATAAGCAGATTTGTTACCGTAGAACGACGTTCCCTAAAACAATGCTGCTCATCAATTATAATCTCTTTACACTGCCAATTCAAATAGTTATACATTTAACTATCAAAAACTTTTGGAATTGAAGACTGTATAGATACACTAAAATAGTTTTTAATATCATTTCTTGACACTGATTTAAATATAGGAGAAACAAAGCTTTCTTTCCAAGCGGCTGGAACTACACCAGTAGCAAAAGATATGTTAAATAACTTACACAAAGGCTGGGATAATGAATATCTAGACTGCTTCAAGACCAAATCAGGGATACTATCAGGGCCAATCGTTAATTTATTAGACAATGACCCCAACTTTTCAAATACCTTAGCCACACTTATAACTGGGCAGTTACTATTAATTTGTAGTAAAGATTTTTCAGGAGGTAACACATTTGAATTTGTGAAGACTGTATCAAAGTGATTAGCAAAACGATCTACAATTTCTTGACCATCAGTAGCCATTATATTATTCAGATTCATATTTTTTGGAAATTCATTTAAACTTCTTTTTTTATTTACAAATTTCCAGAAATTTCTTGGTTTCGTAGTCAGATCACTATTTAATGTTTACATTCTTATAACACTCATGTGTTAATTTTTTATACTGTGCTCTCGCCCTAATAAATTCTAAATAGTCTGTAGCATTCTTAGACCTCTAATATTTCTTGTTTTTTTTTTTAAGAGAAATCAACCTCCTTAAACCACTAGAAAAGTAAGAAGGGAAATTGGATGATTCAAATCTTTTCGGTGAAATGAATCACTGAGAACCATAGTTTAAAATTTCATAAAATTCCGAAACATCAATTATATCACTATTATTGAAAATAAGACCCAATCTATTGAAAATAAAAGTATTTAGACCCTGATAATTACTATTTTTAAAATCAAAGTAAAAACCCGTAAGTGGATCTATTCTTGCATTATTTAACACAAAGCTACAATAATATAAAGTATGATTAATAGAGTCACTAAAAATAAGGTCCAGTAATTTAAAACAATCAGTGGAATGATCAGTAAGTCCAAAAATATGTTTCGGCTGTTTGGTACATATTACATCTCACTTTCACTCAATTATCCGCATTCGACCACTGCGCCTCAGGTAAATTAAAGTCCCCTACTATGTACAGCTTAGAATTAGGATACTCAGCACAAATTTGTTCAACTTTCAGACAAGTGGTCCCTGAACAGATCTTCAGACGATCTATGAGATGTGTAAATACCCGCTACAATAAATTCAGCACCCAGATATTTACATAATACAAACAATTGCTCCAAGCCTGACTCGGACTTTCTAACAATTGAGGCTTGTATATGATTTTTCACCATGATGAGAACACCGCCCCCCCCCCCTCTAATTCGCTGTAATTTGTGCATTACAGTCCGCTCTAAATATCTTGTAGTTACTGCAACATAGTTCCTCTGTGTAGATATTTCCATACAACCAGGTTTCTGTGATAATAACAAAGTCATAATTTAAAGAATTTTCTGCCAAACTAAAGTCCGATATTTTGGTACACATATTCCACTAACATTTTGGTAGTACATTAGTAATGAGGATTATCTAGTTTTTTCTTCCTGACGGTCAGTCATTTTTTATAACCTTGGGACAACCATTGATATACTGAATAACAAAACTCTTATCGTTCCCTAATCGGATTGCAATAATTTTCTATAGCCTTCAAAACTTATTTAACACACGACGAATCAGCACAGATGACTTTTAGTAGTCTAAAGAGCCTTCTTTCTTTCTACCTATTCAAAGAACCTTTTTAACTTTTTTTTTTCAATATCATAAACAAATATCTGTCTGTAGTGACAGCCCTAATATTTAACTAAATACTAATTTCTTTTTACCAATATATTTCTGATAACCGATAACTGCAAATTAAGAACAAAAACAAAATCATTTAGGAATGTTCTTTTATTTCTTCTAGAATTGCTCATCGCCCATAGCTACTACGTTTTTCTACCACCTTTCGTATGTAATTCTTGATACAAACTAATATATTTTTGCAACGCCAATGTACCGCTACGACGTGGCGTCGAGAAGGTACTTGATTGAATGTATTTCGACGCCACCGCAACAAACGTTCGCGAGCACTGGCCCTTAAAATGCGGATGTTACTCGGGATGTTATTTCATCTTGTAAATCTGAACCATTTATCGCGATATTTGCATTAAATATGTTAAAATACTCGATAGGCATTTCTTACCAAAGTTACGTTAAGAAATATTTTATTAAATTCGGATTTAAAGTATTTAAAATATCTATGTCGTTGAGACATAAAAATATTTGGTCCATCTACATTGGCCTGGTGTAATTACCCGTTTTCCAGATGACATTTTGCATTGTTGGGTCAAGTTCGAACTTTTCGTTAAACCATAGTTACATTTCTCTGATCATGCAGGACCTATTTAAAAATGTATCTATAGATTTTGAGTTTTTGTTAGTTGTAAGAAATCCCATTTTTAAGGTCATGCATGCAATCGTTAAAATAATGAATAATATTATTTTATTCTCGGGATTAGTTTTATATTTATGATCCACCTTCAGTTATTACTTTTATATATACATACATCTTTATATTGTACATTTTTCTTTTAGTTTCTATATATAAAGATTTTTAAAGATAAAATTGCATTAAATCGCCATGTTGCGAATTCTTGATTTTTGTTAATTTCTCAAGGTTCCGAAGCATGTCCGAAGTTGCAAATTTACCAGGAAAATAATATTTACATTTGCAACCTATTTTCAAAACTTTTGCATTTTTTTTTACAAAATTAGAGGAAAATAAAAAAATATTTTGATATTTTTATAAAAAAAAACATTTCCGTGCAAAATAAAAGGTTGCAAATTGGAATAGCTATTCCAAAAACTTGTATGAGTTATGTCATCGGTTTGCAGCACTTTTACAATTTTTTTGTCTATGATAATAACAAAAACGCTATTTTACAAAAAGTTGCAAATTTGATATAATGTTGAAAATAATATAATATAGTTTGTAGCACTTTTGCAATTTTTTTAAGAAAGTTATAATAATTTATTTTTTTTAATTATTACAGTGAAACCTGTGTAAAACGGAATCGCACGGTCGTGCACCGATTTTCCGGCATATACAGGATTCCGCGTTACACAGGGTAGATAAAAAATTGCACATAGTAGATTTAAAAAAGTGATGATTTTATAAAAAAAAATCTAATATACGTACATTTAATATATAGTTGTTATTATTACTATGTATCTACATATTTTTATTTATTATTAGAAACGATATAAATTATTATTTATTCCACATTTCTATCAATGTAAGTTGTTTTTTATTCTTTTGTAATACGTAAGATGATTCCATAAATGTCCTTAATTCTAAAATCTTCTTTCTCATCGGTTCGCTCTCTATTCTTTGGGGAAAATCCTCTAACGCTGCAACACTCCTCAAAGCTTCAGAAAAAATTTTTATCCGATCGGATTCTTCAACTTCTGTTCCTGTAGATAAAAATAATAATTTAAGAACAGATCGTTTTGAAAAGCTAATGGGAAAATAATTTTTTCTATCTGTTATTTTTGTGATGGTAACTGAAATCTTCCTATCTTATTTTTATTATGTATTTTAACTTTATTTCTACTTGGCCAAATGCCCAATTAAGATGGAAAGAATAAATAAAAAGTTGTTTATTTTTTTAGAGAATTAGAAAAATCGCTTACCAATTCCAATCCCATCATTATCGTCTGCCACAGTAGTTTCCACGGCAGTTTTTTCTAACACCAGTTCTTCTATGGACTGAAATCCAGCATTTGTTGTAACGGCTTCATCTAATGTGATGTAATCATGAACATTACAACCGGGATTAATTTCAGTAATTAACTCTTCGACTTCTTTTGTACTTTCGTCAATTTCGTCAACATTTCCGATTAGGTCAACGTCTCCATCTTGCTTGATTCCACATGCCGCAAAACATTTTTTAACACAATCAGGTTTAATATTTTTTACTGAATAATCAATCCATCTGATAGCATCCAAAACTGATATTTTTTTTAGCCAAATCTCCTGCTGATTGAGAGAATCTCATATTCGCAATAATTGACCGCAGCACTTATTTTCTGTAATGCATTTTGAAGTTTTGTATAACTCCATGATCGAGAGGCTGTGTTTGACTTGTGGTGTTTGGTGGTAGAAAACACAATTTTATATTGGATAGTATTATTTTGGGGTGACACGTTGCATTATCCAAAAATAGAAGGATGTGTCGATTTTCAAATTTCATTTTTTGATTTAAAATTTTTAGCCACTGTTCCATAAGAACTGATGTCATCCATGCTTTTTTATTTGCTCGCCAATAAACTGGTAGCTGAGACACATTGGTATTGTTAAAACATCGCGGTCTGAGGGATTTTCCAATAACTAGAGGTTTTTCTATTTTTCCGTCAGCAAAGGCGCAAAACAAAACGGTTAACCTTTCTTTAGATTGTTTGCCTCCTTGACATTTTTCACCTTTAAAGCACATTGTCTTGTCCGGCAGCGCTCTATAAAAAAGGCCGGTTTCGTCACAATTAGCAATGTCTTTTAGGGTATATCCTTTAATTAAATCTGTAATGTGTGATGTCCATTTAGTCACAGATTCCATGTCGACGTTTAGCTTCACCGCAGATCTGATTAAATCTTATGTTATGTCGTGTTCGAAAACTTTCCAGCCATCCATTCGAAGCTTTAAAATCTACTTTTCCAAAATGGTTTGCAATTTCTCTTGCTTTTTCTTGAATAATTGTTCCATATACAGGAAGATTGCGAGACCTTGCATCCATAAACCATTCCAAAACTGTTGAATTTACGTCGTCGTGATGTGATTCCTTTGGCTTTCTCTTAATATCGCCATTACCACCACGCATCCACTCTTCTTTAATTTTTTCCTTGTTTTTCAAAATTTCATACACTTGCGTTTTTCCGCACTTAAATTGAATAACCAATTGCTTTGGAGTAAGTTTTGTTTGGTCACTTAAGTCCATTTTAGATTTTAGCGATAATGTATTCGTTTTTCGGATTGCCATTTTGAAATGTTTGCACTTTCACGGATAAACTCAAACTGCCGTACCTACACAATACTGGTTTATTTGTGTATTTACTGCTTTTGTACCTAAATTTCTGTGATAATGGTTCTAAGTATTGATAATAGTTCGCCCTTATTATGGGGCTTTCCGAAATCATAAACTAATTATGTAAACATCTACAAATTCTTTTATACCTGCAAAGCAATAACATAAGTAGGTTCCGGCTTAACAGATTAGGGAAATTCCGTGTTCGCGTTAGACAGGGTTCCGGCTTATAAGCAATTTTTACATTACAATATGTAGGTAATCGCCAATAAAATTTCCGTCATACACAGGATTCCGTGTTACACAGGTTCCGGCTTACTCAGGTTTCACTGTAATATGTTCTGGACCTCAAAAAAAGTTGCAAAATTAAGTTTACGATTATTTCAATCTAATAAATATTCCAAGAAAGTTTGAAAACTTTTGTAATTAATGTGAATTGATTATCTCTAATGACTGGCCTATAAAATAAAACAATGATGTTGTATAAGTGACAAATTGTAGCATAAAATATAATTAAATTTTGATTTTATATTAAAATGCCCTTTAAACCATTTTTCTGATAATTTACACATATATTTTTTAATAGGCACACTGTAAAGAAAATGTCGAAAGAAATCTGTAAACTTTTTTCAAAAAAATTCAGTATCGATGTAGCCGAAGGAGGAAAAGTAAAAAAACAGCGCAACGAGTTTAATTTTGAATCAACTACACAGAAATGTCAAAGTCTTTCTTATTTCGATCAACATCTAGTGACTTGGCAATGCAGCGTTACTGTTATAGAAATGTTGAATTCTTTTGCAACAGGAAATTCCAATTATTTACCCGTTCAGGTATGTTAAAAATTAAGTTAAACTGAGACTGACAGGATAATATCAATAAACTATAATGACTGTCTAATAGAGATTGGCCATATTTCACGTACTGTTATTAAAGTATTAATATTTTAAAATATAAATGTTTTTCAGAAAAATAATAACAAATATTTAATTTGTTAATTATTATTCTGAATCTAATTTAGTATTTAATTGCTACTTTTGATTAAATTCTGTAATTAATAAAAATACTAACTAGAAATAAACTGTTTTAGAATACATGAAAATGGACAATGCATTATCATTGACTCTTTTCATTTCTGGTATTTTTTGTTTTTGTTATTTAATATTTGTTTAATTTTAATAGTCTATATTTAAAATATTTCTTCTCTAATGAATTCCTTGGGTCCCTTATTTTAAAAGCAATTTATTACAGGAACATGTTGCATTTCTTTTCGATTTGATGGAACTAGCATTAAATATTTATGGATTGATTGACGTTTGTATCCAAATTTTAAAGGAATTACCTGAAGTAGAAACTCAATTGTATAACAAAAATTTGGTTTTGAGCAGAAATTATACTACGTCGCTTAGCTTATATGTTGTTGGAGTATTAAGAAGATACCATTGTTGTTTATTATGTAAGTATTGAGAAGAAATTTATTTTGTATTTAACGACAGTAGAGAAGTAGAAAGGCATAAGTTTTTGACACTTTTCTTATTTTTTCACAATTTCCTTGATTCCTTCCCCACCTGTGAGATCAATAACGTCTTTATCATTATTGTCCGTTGTTGTCTTCAACTGCTCTATTTTATTTATCTCTTCACCATTTTGCTTATTTTTATGTTTGACTTTTCTATTCTTTGTTTTTTCATTGTTTTTTAACTTCATTTTCAGTTTGCTCTATATTTGTTTGTGATTTGTTAGATAAAATGCATAACTTATTTTTTAATTCCACTACTTCTAAGGGGGGTGGGTGGCTTAGTAGTAGAGTCTCTGCCTGAGGATCCAAGGGTCCCAGGTTCGAATCCCACCGTTGGCCGGAATTTTTTTATTTAATTTAATTATTTAAAATTAATTCTGATGCCTTGGTAGGATTCCCCACTCAACCATTCACTGTTGGGTTCTAATCACATACTTTGATTTTCTTTTACTATACGGAGAATGGTCGCACTGCGCAGCTTTCTGAGAGCCTTTTAAAAAGAGATAGAAAACTCCGCCATTTTGATCTCTTATTACGTGTTGCCTACATCTTGGCGCAATATTTTTAATAGGTGCGTTTTAATCATCCGCTTCTGCTTCGGAATTGTCGGTTTTCTTGTTTTAATCTGACAGGTTAAAACGACTAAACCGACAATTCCGGAAGCAGAAGCGGATGATTAAAACGCACCTGATATTTTGCTTGCTGCTGTCAGTGTCAGTGAATATTATTTTTGGAGTCACAGTTTATTGCTAAAGAATCAGTTAGCTCACTCGGATCAGTTGAAAGTTCCAAAATAACATCCACTCCAGGGATACGAATTCAGGATACGCAGAAGAATGCTGTTTTATTATAGGCGGTTATCATATATTGTATTATCCGAGTTGCGCAGTGTATGAACTGGAACATTGAGATCAAAAGTGCCGACGCAGAGAGAGCGATCTGATTCTTTAGCTATAAACTGTGGCATAGGAATCAAAATGGCCGCGCCCTATGTTGGGCGTGTCGGACCTCTCTCTTGCACCATATAGTAATCAAAGTATGTGGTTCTAATTAACATGCTGTTCCTGAAGTGGCGCTGGGAAACAGTAACAAAGCCTACATAGAACACACATGATTGAGAATTTAAAACAAACTGAGACTGGCATATTAGGTTTATAGACCTAAGCCATAAATCGAAAAAAAAAACTACTTCTAATGCATAAGCATCATTGTCTATAGTTAATGTTTTGATCATACTTAACATGTCAATGTTTACACTCTCAAGTACTAAAAGTTTACTTCTTAAGTCCTCAACTTGTAGCAAACTTTCTTTAAGTCTTGATTTTAGTTCTTCATTCAATTTATTAGATGCATTTAGGTCTTCTTTTTGTTTGTTTATTTGCATTTCAATACATTTTTCCTTTTCATAAACCTCATCTTCAAAACCTTTTGAGTTTCTTTTTTGTTGTTTAAAGTATGTTTCTTTTTCATAGTTTTCTTGAGCTAAAGTCTCATTTTTCAGCTTTATTGTTGCAATTTCCTCGTCCTTATTTATTAGCATTTCCTCTATGTATTGCCCAAGTTTAGTCTTGTCTAATTTTAATTTAGCTATTTCATTAAAGAGTTTTGTTGTTTCATCATTTTTAACTACATTAGCTTTTTGAAATTCTTTAGAACAGAACATTACATGACCTTCTACAATTGTTTTATTTCTTTTTCTTAGAAATTAATCTAATCTTATCATGTTTATGTTCTAGTATCTCCAGAGCAAACTTCAGCGGTATTTGAAGGTCTTTGCAAGGTAGTGAAGCATGTTTCAAATCCTGGTGACTGCAGTTCAGCCGAACGGTGCATTTTGGCTCATCTCTACGACCTGTACTCATCCTGCAGCCTTTTAAAATCGAAACCTCATGCAGCGGAGCCTTTTGGCAACGCTTATCCCAAAATCAAACAGGCTCTTTATACTTCGCCTCAACCTACGCCAAGTAATATTTATGTTTATAATGCACAATACATGCAGGAACTATTTATTAACCCAAGAAGAGCAGGAAGGATTGATACTGCATTGGCAAAACAATTGAATGAAAGTGGTAATAATAGGTGAGTATCTTTATTTTTCATTTATACTTGTAGTATAAAAGTTTTTCGCAGAAATTACAGTGAGATGTGTCACAGTTTTTATCTAAATATGAGATAAAGTGCGAACAAAAAATACTTTCAAATGTGCCCTAAATTGGTGAATATATGTATTGATTATAAAAAACATAAACTCAGTTAAATAAAAAAAATTTTAGAGAATGTCATATGATAATTTTAATGGAGTTTTCAGAATTGATGTATCTCTTAGTTTTCGAAATAAATAATGTGATTGCACGGTAGATAACTATTATAGAAATATGTGGAGTTTGTTCCTTGGCGAATAGGTACCACTAGGTGTATCATTATTTAAATATTTATTATTAAAAAAAAAAAAATAATAATAATAATAATAATACGAATAACATGTACTCTCCTCGTTTATAGAAAATTTTATATTGAAGACAAATAAATTTTTTTTATTATATACATAATATTTCAGATCAAATTCCTCTACACTGTGTTGTAAAAATGTAATTTTAAATAAAAATTGTATTGAGTATTCTTAGGAAAAATTGAGGAAGGGTTGGTGTTGCAGGTAAATAACGAAATGTCTAGTTAACGTCATTTGAATAGTAGTTAACGTCATTTGAATAGTCATATGCGTTATATCAGAGATGCCAAATCAACAAAAATTTGTTCAGCGTGTGTCAATGACACATCTTCCCTCTTTCTAGAGAAACTTAAAAACCTCTTAGGAAAATATTTAAAAGATAATTAAATGTTTAATAAAAGCTATATTAGTAAATAGTGTTTTCCTAAAACTAAAAACACGAAGGTATACTTTTCAGCTTTCTTAAAGGAAAAGGTTATTAAATGTCTGACCCACGTGGGTCTTCTGAACTAGCTTAACTTAATCGTTAAGACTTATTTATTTAAAAAATTAACAAATTAAATTTTGATCGTAGCCCTTTTGATCACGAAGTATTAACCCATTAGAGCCCACGACAAAAAAAGTTCGAATTTTTTAATAATATTCTGTATTTGTGTTTAAAGTAACTCCAAATATTAATAAAAAATAATTAAAAAAATATCTCTTTGGTAATTTTAAAAAAAAGTGGTGATCTATGAATAGATCACTGGACAAATTCATTATATATTTAAAACACATTTAATTTCCAAACAGCAATCTTATTTATAAAACTAAAAGTTTATTGTTAATATATAAAACATGAACCGACTTCTAAACATAACTAATAGTGAGAACACTAATTTTGGTGGCAAGAAAGGAAACAATTTGCATATAGAGTAACATCACATTTCAAACAGAAACTTTGGGTCTGCTCTTGCGACCTGTTCTTTGACGTCTTTGGCCATCACGATATTGCATAAAATGATTCAGACCATTAAAACGCACATTTACACGAGCTTCTGTAGCTTTGGTTTTTCTTTTAACCCACGATGTGAGCTTCATATAAGGAACTGCAACTGCTCTACGGAGTTCTAGAGAGTTTATTGCTTCGCGACCATGTAAGTATCTGTGTTAAATCCAGGCATTTGTAAGTGCCATATCCATATGCGAATAAACATTGACCAGTACCATTTTTCCGCGTATCTGGATACCATATTTACCAATAAGCCAGTCATGATAGTCAACACCACCCATATGTTTATTATAGTTTTGATTGCGGAACTTCAACCCTTTGCTTAGTTTCACGTTTCCAGCGGCTTGCCTTAGCTAAAGGTTTTATGTCGTCATAATTAGTTACCACTATTACGCATTTGCCAACGTACCACAAGAACATCAGACGTGGTGTCACACCTATAATCAAAGGAACCACGAAATTCTTTACCCAGTTCTTTTGTCGACTTCATTGAACTTTTATCTGTTCTATTATCACGTACTGTTCCTGTTGCACGAAATCAAGTGAATCAATAGGTCTCGATTCGTAAAGAAGTTATCAAAAAAGACTGTGCTCTCTTAAAGTTGACACACAAGACATTTCTGTCACCACTCTTGACCCTAAAGTTAGACGTGTTTGATTGTTGCCTTCTTTACCGGTATAAAATATAAACTTAAAGCAATACCCATTGGAACCACAAAGTGTCCATAACTTGCAGCCAAATCTTATGGGATTTCCTCTTATAAATTGCTTCAAACCATGATGCCCATAGTATTTGACAATCATTTCGTCAATTGACAAATATGAAGTAAAAATTCCAAATTGTTGGAATTTCTCATTTGTTTTTATAATAAGAGTTTATAAGCTCTGTCTCATTTATCAATTTTATCATTATCTGCAAATTGTAGCATTGATTTTATTTTGGAAATCCTATTTCGTGACATTCCGGATTGTACAATAGCAACACCCAAGTCTGCATCCGTAGACCAGTACATTCTTTCGGATAGAACTTGGCGATAACCAGAAAACAGAAGTATACCAATAAAACACTTTAGTTTATCAATATCTAAAATAAAAGATGTCATTTTTTACGCAAGGTTTCTTCCTTTATATATTCGAAAATATAATTTGAAGCAAATTTTTCAAAAAGTTGTAATGGAGTAAGATTAAAATATTCTTTTTGCAGGGCTTCTTTTTTATTTTTTCCAGTTCATCAAAATTGCTATTAGAAAATGAATATTTAGGATCACACTTTTCCATTTTGGTAGCACGTTAGAAAGTCGCTGTTTTTTGGAGCTTGTTGGAGCAGAATCGAAAGTTGTCCCTGGTACTTCATTATCTTCGTTGTACAATTGCAACTCCAACTGACCGGGAACTTCTTTTATTTCCGCTATACCTAATTCGTCATCCTCAACTTCGTCTTCATCAGTAATATAATCTGGAGCCGGAGGCAGAACTTCGATATCCAGATTCGAACTATCCTCATCAATAAAAAAATTAGGATCGTTAACAATATCTTCCAGCTCTTGCATAGTCAGTGCTCTTTTTGAATTCATCATCTGCAAAAAAGTTTTGTATATCTTTTTAATATTATTACTTTCAAATATTAGTTATATTTACTATAATACAGGGTGTTTCCTAACCTCTCTGTCAAAAGAAAGAAAGAGAATTCTCACCTAAATTTAAGACGAAAATGTGGCATAATTTTTTTTTAAATATCGCTTTGTTTTCAAAATACAGGGTGTTGAAAATATAAAAATTTGAAGCGTTTTCTTTGTAATATTAATTAGTGGCAAACGATATTCCAGTAATATTTGGTACACATAATAAGGGGTTTTTTGTACTTTACTTTGTGTCCATTTTAAACTTTTTAATTAGTTCATTGGCGGAGATCCGGGTAACGAGTATTATTTATTTTTGCGAAAGTATGCTACTCGTTACCCAAATCTCCGCCAATGAACTAATTGAAAAGTTTAAAATGAACCCAAAGTAAAGTACTAAAACCACTTATTATGTGTACCAAATATCGCTGGAATATCGTTTGCCACTAATGTCATCAGACACTTGCTAGTTTAGAATTGATTTATAGATACCCAGTCACTCGCAGCCAAGTTATTTTTAAGGGCTGTTGGGCTTACATTGAAAATGTCGCACTCAGGATAAAACTTATAGTTTAGGCAAACACGCTCAGAAAAGTCCTTTGCCCATAATTGGTTCGATGTTGTTTAATGTAGAATGAATGGAGACGGAAATGTATCGTGTTGGCCGAATAGGAGTCAGAAAGGTGATCTATTCCAAAAGCATGTCGCACGAGATTACTCCAGAAATATAATTTTTATACGTGGAAAATCCCTCTACAAGTTTTTGATGTCAGATTTGTCGCCCTTCTTATAAATTTGTACTAAGTTGGAAAATTACTTTGTTACAGATTTCCTTCAATGCTATAAACATAAAAAATAGTGAACTCGTAAGTTCATAAGTAAATATTGTGATTAGGAAGAATGGGGTTTTATTTTTTTTTTAATATTCAACATTACAGAATTACAATTTAATATATTATTTGTTTAAGGTACTCTTTTGTGAGCAATGCAGTGATCCACGTATGCAGGGAAATTGACAACGAAAGATTGAACGATTTAGCCATTTTATGTGCCGAAATGACAGCCTGTTGCAACTCTTTGGCATCTGAATGGTTGGGTGTGTTATTGGCACTTTGTTGTCCATTGTCTCATCCCGGATATTATGCTGAAGTTTTGAATCAGCTAGATATTCAGGTAAAGGTAAATAAAAAATCGAATTTATTAAAAATTATATTAATATCTATAAATGTTTATTATAAAAGTATTTTTCATTGGAATAAAATGTTTTTAGGACGTCAGCATTCACAATGCTTTGGCTGTTTTTACTTGCATTTTGATAGCAAGACACTGTTTTTCGCTAGAAGATTTTGTTAGACGAGTGGCTTTACCAAGTTTACTAAAAGTGAGTATAATTATTAAGTTTTGTTAAAAATACAAATGAACGCTTAAAATTGAAAAAGTAAAAAAATCCAATACACTAAAGCACGATTACATTTAAAAGGTCTTATACCTCTTGAAATATAGGAACTAATAATCGAGCTTGGAGGCGTCAAAACAAACGATCTTGATGGCTAATTGACTTCGTTGTTTCAATAGATGATGCTTCTCATTCAATAGAGCCATTGTTGCATTGATCGTATGACATGTGACAACATCACAAACGGTCGACATCCAAAGCATCCAATTCCGGTTATAAAAAGTTGATTATCATGGCACAGTAATGTTTACCAATCACCATAAAAAAAAAACCGGTCCGATGATTGCGCGAGCAAAAAATGTACACCAAACAGTTGTAACAACCGATAGGCTAAAGGACCACTGCTTGTTACCAGAGTAACAACTGCTATGTCTTTAATTCGTATTTAACTAATTTAGATCACTATTACCAATATACTATCAAGGGATGGGGGCAGCACTGTCACCAGCCATACGCTCCTGGAGTCTTGAACGGACATCCCCATCAGTGGCAAAAATGAATGAAAAGGGAAAAAAATAATCTCTTAATTGCATAATCAAGCGATTTTAGTAACTTGTTAAAGACTCTGCTGGTCCTTAGGGGTAGGAACGCCGAGGATTCACAAATGCTCGGAATATTTCGTAACTGGTTTTGGAAAGGGATGAGAGAATATAAATGAATAAATTGTAACATGTATATTTAAAAAGACTACAAAATTTAATAGACTCTGGTCGAATAAACATTTTTTTATTTGGCAAATTAACTATTTGGTAATATGTCCAATCGTTTTGATAATAACTTAAATGACAATTAGACGTAATACACAACTTATAATAGATAGTGATCTTTCTATGGTTTGGACTGGTTTACAATTATTATAAGATCAAACGAACTTACCTTAAGTGAAGTTCGATCTTGATTATACACTGCGCTCCCTTCTTCAGATGATAAGTAAACGTAGATGTTTAAAGACAGTTGCGACTACAAAAAACGAGGCAATTTTCAATAAACTGTTATGAAAATGTTTAAAGTGTAACAAAAAATTAGAATGGTAGAAGAGGTGGGATCCTGCCTTATAGGCCTGTTATAAAACGGCAAAACAGAAGATTCACTTGTCCAGCCTGCTGTGAACCTTATATCTAAGTTCAGTCCCAACGACTTAAGATCTAAAAGGAAGAGTTGAAGATCATTTGTTTTTACCTGATGATTTGACCCTATCAGTTCTACAAATAATATACTTTAATTTAATAAGACTAAAGGTTTGCATTTTATGTGCAGTAACTAATGCTAATATCACAAATTTTTCTGATAATTCTATAACAGGGATTTCTTTATTGAAACACCAATACCAATCCCTGAAGATATTCAATGGGGTCCAAGTTAAGTCATACCTTGGACCCTAAAGTCCAGAGCAATGTCCAGTGACAAAATTAAGAAAGTGCTGATCTATAGTTATTATATGACCCGTATATGTAAACCCTCCTGGAACCGTCCTTGCAGAAATGTAAGATCTTACATATCACATGTGAAGGAGTCTGTTCTCTAGTCATACAAAAACTTTCACCAAATTTTCAACTCCACCATATATTCTCTTAAGGTAGAGTTGAAATAGATGGCAGCATAATCTCAATAGTATTGGAGTCCGGAGAGATCCCTCAGATCAAGTTCGAATTTAATTAGTTCTGAACTCAAAACCCTCTTAAAAAGGTGCCACCAAGGTTTGGTAGTCCAAAAAGGGTACTACTACCACCACGCTTGAGGCATTTTCATTTATGTCAAAAGAGTAAAACTCGAAATTATTTATAATTTTCTGAATTACTGAAAGAAAACAGGCAGAAAACCGTAAAAGTTATAATCTGACCAATCTAAGGTAAATGTACCAATGGAGGGATAAGGGTATTTCTTTCATGAGGCATACGCCATGAACTTATGTAAAATTAGTTTCCACTCAGTATTTAGTCTGGAAACATCTTTAAGTGAACAGACATTGAAAGAATTGAGCAAACCTAAAATTTTCATCCTATTTACTTCAGTGAGAGACATGGTCGTTAGTGTCGAATTAAAATTAAACTCTAAAAAAATAAAGCTGGAGGATGGACTCTTCTTCTTGTTAATTATAAACCCTAATGATAAACTAGATGAAGTAAAGTATCTTTAGTATTTTGTTTAGTGTTCAGATTTCTTTCCAATAGTATAGAATCATGTAGGTACATACTAAAGATAACAACCCATTATCTCTGAGTGGAAATCACAGGCTTCACAATTTTGCTAAAAATATCATTGAAAAAGAATCTTAAATACTTTTGCTTGAGATCTTGATATTAATTATAAAGTAGGATTTTTTTATGACCAAAGTTATATAAACTCTATTTCAATTATTCCTATTTTTTTTATAATTAAAAAATTTTTCCATTTGATTTCTTTTTACTAAGAAAATATTGGATATAAATTGTTCCTTAGATGGCTTATAAGAGTGGATGGTCTCAAGTAGATCATTTATTTCTGATAACATCTACTGATACTCAATTAAAGATTGACAGGTTTAGTAGGAAGCATTTTTGGACAGACAGAGAGATAAAATTTAAGGAGTAACCTTTAATGTATAAGACCTTACAAACAGATCGTCTAAGCTATCTCTCCAGAATCTGTAGTGTTTACTTAGATTTCCTGCTAGTACACTTGCTTTCACTTAAGAAGGCGAGCTCTGTTGTATGAATGGCTCTGTTTGGGTTGATTTCTCTGGGGCTTTTTCCAAAGTTTCTATTGACGTACCCCTAGGGATGAGTACTTCTATTGTCCGGGGAAACTTTTGAATTTTACAGTTTAGACATCTGCTTCAAATCTTCACCTAAATGCTTTATAGCTTTAGCATATTTGCTTCGGTCTCAACTTAGCCTCCCCTATTATTTCCATGAGGTCACTTTTAAATTCTAATGTGATATTTCCTCTAGTTTCACAATTAAGATGAGTGTCTTACCAAGTAAGGACAAACTAGACCCTAACTTGATGTGTAAATACTTTAACCTCATTTAAGAGCTGTATTGGTATTTGCTGCCTTACTCCCTGAGTTGACTTTGGGTGGTGTCATCAAAAAGGCAATTTAAGGATATATGGAAACAAGCCATGATTTGTAAATGTATCTTGTCCTGAACCCAAGATGTTTAGTCTTGAGGCAACTACCTCTTTTTGAATAACTCCATCATATTGAGTCCATTGCCCAAAATTTTAAGGATATTTTCCTTTAGCAATGGCCTTTTAATTTCATTAGAAGGGTTATCTTATTTTTGATTCAAGTCTTAAAAGAAAACTCAAAGTAGAACCACAAAATGCAAATAATTACAATTCACAAATGGTTGTATGTAAATAACTGAACATAGCAATATCTCCCAATATTACGTGAACAATATTCTTAGCCTTCATATAAAATGTTTCTATATATTTGACAACACTATCAAAAAAAAACCAGTATCTTCTTTACCTTAGTGATCTTAGAATGTCCTCACTAAATCTGGGACACCCACCGAGTCTTATAGTCTCACTGTATTTAATCTGCACTAGATTTGTTATTAACTCACACTGGGTTCATGATAAACCTTGCACTGAGTTATGGTTACTATTTGGAATCACATGTAAATTAAATCGACTTGAAAAAAAAAGTATGTCCAATTTACCAGCATACGCAATATAAAATATTTCTAGATGTTTGCCAACACTATCAAAAAACCAGTATCTTTTTGTCTTAGTATTTTAACACGTCCTTACTGAACCTGGAACCCATACTGGATCCTAGACTGCACTGAATTTACTGAATGTTATAAACCCGAACTGGGTTCTATAAAAGAACTCGCACCGAGTTATGGCACTTCTTGGAACCCCATGTAAAGTAATGAGATTCGAAAGAAAAAAGTGTCTAGTTTGCCATTATCTCCAATATAAAAAACTCACTGAGTTATGGCCTACCTGGAATCCAAATATAATGTGATTCAAAAGAAAAAAGTATGTTCAGTTTACCATCGTCCGCCATATAAAAAACGACACTCACCGAGTTATGAAATCCCAAGTAAAGTAATGTGATTTGAAAGAAAAAAGTAGTTTTCCTTCATTTGCCAGATGTTTGACAATGCTATTTAAAAATTAGTTTTGTCCACACTGAACCTGAGACTGGCACTGGGTCCTAGACTCGCACTGAGTCTTTTTAGTCCGTTCTGGATTTGTTATAAATCCACAGTCCACTATCTGAAATCACATGTAAAGTAATGTGAACTGAAAGAAAAAGTAATTATGTCCAGTTTAGCATCATCCTCCATATAAAATTTAACAGGTCCGCACTGAACCTGGGACCCGCACTGAGTCTATTTAATCCGCACTGGGTTAATTATAAACCCGCACCCATCTAGAAAAGAGTAATGTGATAAGAAAGAAAAAGTATGTCCAGTTTACCATCGTCCGTCTCCAATTTCTTTTGTAGGTAATCTAAAACAATTAATTTATATTTAACCTACCAGCATTCTTCTGTTGATAAATAAATACTATCTCTGGTTCTTCTGCCAGAGAACTAAAACTAGACGAACTACATTTTCTATGCCTAAATATTTACGTTGGTGATTTTCTTCATTAGAGTCGCACCCACTTTTTAAGATTTCTTTCTTTCTTTCTGTTTGTTGTTTCTTAAGTGTTTTTACCTTCTTAAACAACACAATTTTGAGTCGTTGTCCGACGTTTCTGTTTATGAATAATAATATTTTCTTATATTTTATTAAAATTAAAACATTTTCGAACAACTTGGCACCAAAATGAAAAGTGAGCCACGTCCGCAAAATGAGGGAACTACATAGAAAGTGAGGTTATAAGTTTTGGCTTTGGACTATGGTACACAACTAGCTCATAAATACTACGTTTACTTATCATCTGAAGAAGGGAGCGCAGTGTATAATTATAGTATCGAAAACTTAAATAATAAAGGTGAGGTGAGGTAGTCATATGTGTGTGTAGGAATTACTCAGGAAGGTGGTAGAAAAAGTCATTTCTATTTTACAAAGTCAATTTTAACATCGGCCATTTTCGAAGGATCTACATTCTCAACTCTTCTTCGAATATGTTTCACAGTTACATAACAAAATGGGATCGGTCAATCATACGGTCTCTGTGGATAGTAATTTGTGTTTTGTGTTTCATGTTAAAAAAAACTACGTGATATACGGGATAATGATCGACAAGTAATGTTATTTTGCGAGTGCAATAATAACTGACAGTTGCTGACAATTCAGGTTTTGACTACCACAGTCAGACAAAAATTCTCTACCGTTCTGACTGTATGTGACTGATTAACTAATTAGTCATGACTATGAAGACTAGAGATAAGGAGACGAATCGGCATACTTAAAATACGGTCCCAAAAAGCGCATGCTAATTGAGCTTCTATAATTAACCGCATGGGCGCTGGTACTGCATACGCTGTTCAAAATACATGGCTTCTTATGGGAATTATACATAATTTTGTCAAAATAATGAAAATAAACTTGTTTATAGCTAAATAAAACACAGAACATACTGTTGTATTTATTTCTAAATAAGTCTTGCATGTTTTAATTGATAAATTATTTAATTTTATCTGTATAAAATACAAATTAGGTATGTATGACCAAATTCGAAAAGGTTTTTTAAATGCTGAAATTTGATAAGTACAATTTTGTGGCAAACATTTTTTGAATTGAACCAATATATAGTTTTAAGAGTAAAATAAAACACAGTTAACAGACTTTTTATTGTTGTAATACAAGTATAAAGGGAGATTTGAGAATGTACATGGTATTATCCCATCCTTTAATTTCAGCTTTCCCCTTTTTATTTTGCTAACAGTGCCATCAGTAAAAATAGTCTCATAATATTTGATAATATCTTCTAAAAAGTACAGAACAGCATCATCTCTAAAAAGTGCTTTATCGGCACTAGGAACGATATATATGCTGCCACTGTTCTAAACGTTTAGTATCCTATAAAAAACATTTACAATGACACAATTAGGGTCCAAAAAAAATAACAGTAGCAACTCTTTATCTAACATTAAAACTCTATAAACAATAAATTTTCTTTTCTAGTAAGTTAAATTAAATGCATAATTATTGTTGTTTGTAAGTCAGCATCTATAACGGTAAAATTTTAAATTATAGAAACTTGTAATAAAATAAACTACACTTCGTAAGATACATATTGTGATTAGTTTACAATAAATATTATATTTAGACATGAATACATTATTTTACTTACATTAGAAGCTTTAAAAAGACGTTAAATTGATTTCTTCTTGTGTTTTATTTAGTTTTACATTTGATTTTTATCCTGTTTTACAATCTAGGACGACGTAAATTTTGCTTTGATGTTTTTTGTTACTCATGTTACTTGTACTCAGGTACTTTTTTTCACATTATTTTGATTCTTTTCACAAATTTAAAAAAAAATCACTTCATTTTACATTGACTTGCATAGAAAATTGACTCCGCTGTCATTAGACAGGCCAACTACAGTCAATTTCGCGAACTTTATAAAAAGAAGGACGGAAATTTGAAATTTGACGATTGCCGATTCGCCTCCTTTTCTCTAGTCTTCATAGTCATGACTGATTATCTTGGTTGGTCTTCTTTTTTGCTAAACTTTTTCGACCGGTCTGACTGCTCACTTAACGCGCACCCATAGACCTTTACAAATTATTTAAATATGTTTTAGGTAAAATCCCTTGACAATGGAGAAGGCAGAGCTGAAGGAGGCATGAGATTGACATGCCACCTCCTGTTAAGGTTGTTTAGAACTGCAGAGGGACCACAACCGGGGTTATATACAGTTGGGTCTCCACCATTGACCGTCCCAAGAACTCCTCTAGGCGTTAGACTTAGTTGTGACCGCCATCTTTTAGCTGCAGCTCACAGGTAATTAAAATATTTAAGATAATCATTGTAAAATTTAATTATCTTTTCTTCAAAGGAATATCCACGTTGGACCGGTGTTAGCAGTACTGAAAGCAGTATTAATTGTTGGAGATGCTACTGCGAAAGAGGGAACAGAATTGAGTTTGAGTAATATTTTAGGCACTAGTGACCTGCACAGTGGAGGAGATGGACCGAACATAGATTTACCGTAAGTTATCTGTGTTTTAACCATACATATTAACATTATTTTTTTTATAGTAGCAATAAATATATTCATTATGTAATATATTACAGAGATTGTATTTTGCTTATTCTAAATTAAAACCGCAGCATAAGCAGAAACACAATTTAAAGTAAAATTAACAAGTAGAAGATAAATGCGCCAATATTTTATATCTTTGATGTAGATAGGAAAGGCAAAATTATTGTTTGCTAATACTATTTTTTTAAATAATTTAGTAATATAGTTTACTTATTTTTCATTGTAGGATCCCTGAGATGCATGAGAACCAAGTCGTTTAAAATTTAATTCTAATAATATGTATTATTTTTATTTTCAAAGTAGCCAGGTCAGTAGTATGTTTACTATAAGTATTCCAGACATTGCATAGGGCCCTTTTTTTAACAGCTGTTAAATAATACATTTATTATTACATAATTTTTTTATGATGAGATAATATAAATCATTACTTATTAGTGTTGAATAATAATTAATTATCAAACATTTTGTGATAAGTATAATTTTCTTTGTCCAACACTTCAATCAAAAATTAAATTCTGTCAAAATCCCTTCGGTCATAGGAAAAATAATTTTGGTACCTCAATCGTAATTTCAGACAGTGAAAATTAAATGTGCACACTTCCAAACATTTAGAATAAAGCATAAAGAGCCAAAATATCACATTTATTTCCGGAAAAATCAAAATAATAAGTACTAGATGCATTTATGGCCTGCGAACAACTATTATACTTGTTTTTTGTTTTTGTCATTTGTTTTAATTTACATTTATTGGCTAATGTTTTACAACAATTTTTATACGCATGGAAGTATTATGAATTCAAATAAAAATATTTTTTTGTTATTAAAATTTCATTAAAATAGAAATACCCATAAGCCCAGAAACAAACAATGACGCTTACCCATAAATAGTTTAGTCATTTGGTAGTTTTGCCTGGAAAGTTTTCCGAAAGGTTTAAAAATTGGCAATTTTATAGATTTCTATTTGCCTTTCCGATTTTCAACTTTGCCACCTATCTTTGCCGCTCGTGTCGCCATATTGGAAAAATGGTTCCTAAAAACATTTTTTTATATTTCCTTTCCGACTCATTTCATGATAAAAACATTTATATACAAAATGAAACTAGAGAAAATTTCCTAGAATTTAAGTACTAACCTTTTCTTCGTAAAATCAATAGTTTTGGCGTACAAGCGTCTCAAAGTGCAGTTCAACACACTTTAGAGCAACTATTGATTTACGAAAAAAAGGTAATTACATAAAGTGTAGGATTTTTTTCTATTTTCATCCTATCCTATTATAATACATAAATGCGAAAGTTTGGATGGATGGATGTTTATTGCTCAATCACGCAAGAACGGCTGAACGGATCTGGATGAAATTTGGCATAAAGATAGATTATAGTCTGGAATAGCACATAGGCTACTTTTTATCCAGGAAAAATATGCGGTTCTCGTGGGATAGATTTGTTTTTGTTTTTCACAGACATGATTTTTTGCATAGGTAGTGAAACATGAAAATTTAAAATACAGCTACTGAGCATAAATAAATAATGACGTGTTTAAGGGTTTTGAATTTTCACATTTTAAGCGGGGGAAACGGGGGTTCAAAGTTTGTATGGAAGTATCAATTTTTTTAAAGGTAGGAACTTGAAAATTGGAATTATAGTTACCATCACAAATAGATATTGGTGTGTTTTAGGGATTTTGGATTTTCATGTTTGAAGGGGAAAAGGGAGGAAATGCGAGAAAGGAAAGAAAGGGGAGAAATGGGAGAAAGGGGGAAATGGGGGTAAGGTTGTATGGGGGTATCGCTTTTTTTTAAAGGTAGGAAATTGAAAATTGGAATTGTAGCTACTTGTCATAAATAAATAGACATTAAGGGAGGAAACGGGAGGTGAAAGTTTCTATGAGACTTTCGGTTTTTTAAAGGTAGAAACTTGAAAATTGGAATTGTAGCTACTCATTATTAGTAAATAATGGCGCATTTCAAGGTTTTTGGATTTTCACATTTTAAGGAGGGGAAAACTATCTTAAAACTAAATAAATAAATAAAAAAATAAAAATGAATAAAAATAATTAAAAATAAATAAATAAAAATAAATAAAAATAAATAAAAATAAATAAAAATAAATAAAAATAAATAAAAATAAATAAAAATAAATAAAAATAAATAAAAATAAATAAAAATAAATAAAAATAAATAAAAATAAATAAAAATAAATAAAAATAAATAAAAATAAATAAAAATAAATAAAAATAAATAAAAATAAATAAAAATAAATAAAAATAAATAAAAATAAGTAAAAATAAATAAAAATAAATAAAAGTAAATAAAATAAATAAAAATAAATAAAAACAAAGAAAAATAAAGAAATATAAATGAAAATTAATAAAAAAATTTCGCGAGTAACGAACTGTTGTTCACTTTTAATAATTGAGATTTGAGAAATTCCAGCGCAGCGGGATCGGGTCAGCTAGTTTTGTATAAAAATGTTTTTATTGCGAAACGAGTCGAGAAGGAAATATTGTCAAAAAACTGCTTTTAGACACCATTGTTCCAAAATGGAGGCGCGAGCGGCAAAGATACGAGGTGGAAAAGTTGAAATTCGGAAAAAGTTCATCGAAATCTATAAAATTACCCATTTTCCAAACACTCAGTAAACTTTTCAGGTAACCTCTTTTTTAGAACCATTTTTTTTTTTCAATGTAATTTTGTTGGGATTTTATAAATATTTCAAAAATTCTAATTTTCAAAATTTAATGCCCGCTATTTTGATTGTGACGCCACTGGATCAAATCGATGGAATTCCTTATGGTTGATTGTCGTTTGTCTGTATCTACAGAATCGAATGTTTGGCTTTAACCTTGTGCATTTCACTCACCCAAAAATATAAAGACAATATTTGACCATAACGGTGGATAACAGGTATTATAGGTATTTCAACTTAGATCAAATCCCATAAAAATAAAATATGGGGAAACTAAATTCCAATTCTCAAAAGTGACCGATTTAAAATAAATAACTTGAGAGAAAATCTCAAGGTCATGGTCACACCAAAGTCGAGTGACCGATTCCTTCCTGAAAACAACTACTCCCTTGGCTAATACCGCAATAGACATTGCATTATATCCAAAGGAAAAACAGATCGAAAATAATTTTCAACACTTTAGTTTTAAGTTTGCTTCCTAAGGAGAACGTCATATTTGGGCTGGTTTCGTTCTTATTAGGACTCATCATAAACCATTAGACAATCTCGACTTTAATCTCTAATGAAATCTGCTCGATATGTTACCTTCACTCGAATACATTAAAGCTGGTTGAGAAAGTGTAGATAGTCGATAAGTAAAAATTGGTAACGCCTTCTTAGGAAGCAAAATAAAAGCTCACTGTGGTACCTAGTTCTCTAAAACAAGGCGGAATAATAATCAGAGTGGCAATTTCAGAATTGTCAAATAAAAAGCTTCAATATCGAATTAAAATAGACCAGATTTTGACAGAACATAAAACAATAAGAATCCTTTTTTATTTTTGTATGATTGATTTAATGAAATTATTTGAATTGGGTAGAGAACTGTTGTAGAAAAATTATAGTATTCAACTTGTAGTAATGGTTAATATTCTCGAGAATATGGAGGCATGAGCTTAGCGAATGCCGTAAATCATTCGATCATCATTGCTAGTAAGTAATAGTATATACCTACGATTGTAAATTATTATTTCACAAAAAGTATGCGTGAAACTTGTCCATTGCATCCACGTCGATATATTTAACTATCATAGAAAGCTCTTGTCTCAAACTATTATTGTTTGATTTGTGACTTGAAAGTTCTTCAAACATGTACTGTATCTCACGCGAAATATCTTATATTCCACGCTTGTAATGTATTATACTAATCTTGAAACACATTGACAACACAGGGTTATATTGAAATACATAGGTCAAGTACAAATCTAGGCCATCGACGAGTCTGACTCTCTGTCAGCACCGTTAATCTCGATGTTATAGTTGAGAAGGCGTGCATTGTACTTCTAGAGAAGTCTGAGGGACAAATTTAAATTTATTAGCATTTTAAAAGTTATTCTGTTATGTATTTCAAAAAAATTGTTTTGGAAATGATCTTTTAAGTTATATTATTAATTTTACACATTTGAATGATTTAAAAATTGCATTACATTGATTATACTGGATCTAGGACTGTTTTTCGAATGACAATTTGCGAACAACAGTTTTTCGATGGACAGTTTTTCGAATGGACAGTTATTCGAACGCATGTTCTTCGAACTCTTTGTTTTATGTTTCCAGAATCGATAAGTAGAAATGGTTCGACTTTTGTGGTGGTTTTAAAAGAATCAGGTAGATACAACTCCTCTAGACTTTTCGGCTGTGTGGGTTCTATGTTTTTTTTCACTCTTTCCCTGCGTATTGTCCGCTTTAAACTATTTACTTTACTTAGTTTGGCTGCTGTTAGTTTGTCCACTTTTCTTGAAAGTGAAGATACTATGTAGTGGGGAGTGTTTCTTGGCCGAGCATTGTCCTTTAGTTTATTCTTAAAACGTATGGCATCTACTTCTGCTGCATCCACGGGGTGGTTGTGAAAAGTCTCTTTGCAAACATCACCATGGCTTGTAATTGCTCGCGATTTACATTTCTTAGATAAAAAGAACTAGCACCTTCAATATATTTTTTCATCAACGGCTTTGTCTTTAACGAGTAAAAATCCGTTCAAAAATAACTTTTTTTCCTTTTTCACTAAAAAGGAATTCGAGAGGCATCTTTATAAATGTTAAAAATGGGAATCTTGGTAGGTTTAAAATAATACCAACGACTATATTATCGTCCTATGATAAACATGACATTCAGTAAGTAAGCAAGAGGGCGCTAGGTGCATCATAATAAGGAGGATATTTCAAACTTTACAACACTCCCACTAGTTTGAAATAATAATTCTCAAAAAAAAAAAAGAAACTT